AAAAAAAAAAAAAAAAAAAAAAAAAAAAAAAAAAAAAAAAAGAAATACTCCTGCTTCAGTGATTTCCTCATGAGACTTACGGGTCACTAATACGAACAGCAGCAACTCTGTGCCTGTGTTACTAGGATGCTACTCATATTGCTAAAATGATTTCCCTTAGGTTTGACCTTGTGTGCATACGATGTCTGTGTTTAGTCAGGAGACCATTTTTCATAAGGTTCAAATTCTCCTGAACACATTTCACAAACATAACTGGGACAGAATTTTTTTCCTGAGCCAGGCATGGTAATGTATGCCTGGAATCCCAGCACTCAGGAGGCTGAGGCAGGAGGACTGCCACAAGTTTGAGGCAAGCCTGGGCTACATGGTGAGTTCAAAGCCAGCCTGAACTACATAGTGAGACCTTGTTTCAAATAAATTTTAAAACTAAAACAAGAAAGAAATTTTTTCTACATAAAGAGAATTTTAACTTTAAAAAAGATTACAAGACTCTGTGCTGAGCAAACTGCTAGCAAATTTAATAATGAAAGCGTATGAAGCACTGGGGATATAGAGCTCAGCGGCACAGAGCCCGCCTGGCAAGGATGAGGCCCTGAGTTTGATTCCTGGTACAAAAAACAGCAAGCTTATGAGTATCTGTTAGCTCTAGGTGGACAGATTCTCTAGCTTTGAGGCACCTCACTGGTACTGGAGTTTTAGCTATTCAGACTCTCAGAGAAGCTAAAAGGAAAATTATAAAATGTATACTGTCCAGTTTATTTTCCTTAAGCAGAAGAAAGCTGGATCACTTGTCCACAAACAATACAATTTCAGTAAAAAATAGTTTCTTCCGGTGAGATGCTGCTGTCATTGTTACACAAGCACCATCAAGGCTTGAGACATTCTCATCTAGCATCAAGCTTGTAAATGATGGACACTAAATCCTGTGAGATTATTATGGTCCATACAGAATATTTAGATTATCCCAGCCCCTCTTCAGATGAACTTGAGCCTATCTGCAAGGGAGCAGGCTGGATAAAATAGAAAAGAGCCGGGTGTGGTGGCGCATGCCTGTAATCCCAGCACTCGGGAGGCTGAGGCAGGAGGATTGTTTTGAGTTCGAGGCCAGCCTGGGTTACAAAGTGAGTTCAAGGCCAGCCTGAACTGCACAGTGAGACCCTGTCTCAAAAAGACAAAAAAAAAAAAAAAAAAAGAAAAAGAGAAAAGAAATCGTAAGGGCAATACTGAAACTGATTCAAATACTGAGTGTCTAACTGCTGCTTAAAATGGCACAGGAATCACATGAGACAACAGACTTATCAGAGATCTTCCAACAGTAAGACTTTCAGATCACACAGATGATGATCCTTTTACTCTCAATACCTAGACTACAGGCATAGGGATGATAAAAAAGACTGAATGCTTAAAGACTGAACCCAGTTAATAGGATATGTGTATCAGTATGTAAAAGTAATACCACTACTAATGTGACAGCTAACATTTGAGCAGTAACTGTGCTGACTGCCCTACGTACATTATCTCACTGTCTAACCCTCTAAGGCGGGTGTTGTAGAGCCCCACTTATAGAGGAGAAACATGCTCAAATTAAGTTGAGCAATCAGATGTGATATCACGCACCTGTACTTCTAGCCGCTCAGAAGGCTGAAGCAGGAGGATTGCTCAAGTTCAGGAGTTTAAGGCCAGCCTGGGCAACACAGTGAGACTCACCCTCAAACTAAGTAAGACAACCAGTCCAAGGACACAGTTAATCAATGGGAAGTCTCACTCTAGAGGCCGTACATCTAAGTGTTACCAAAAGCAAAATGTTTGGGAACCTACAATCTAACTGCAAACATGGCAGTATATCTAAAATACAAGGATAGATATTACTTAACATTAAAAGTTCTTTAAAATCATAGAAAAATAGTGTGCTTGGGCTGGGGATTTAGCTCAGCGGCACAGCGCCTGCCTGGCAAGCGCAAGGTCGTCAGTTCGATTCCTGGTACCGGAAAAAAACCAAAAAAAAAAAAAAGAAAAAGAAAAATAGTGTGCTCATTGACTTCATAGCCTTAACATGTCTACATAACTCCTGGACGTGGGGCTGGTGTACTTCTCCAACTTCAATTGATGATTAAAACCACAACACATTCAGTAACCGCACTTCAATATTCTGAATTGAATGTCAGATAAAAAGAAAGGACATGAGGGATACATTACCACTTCTAATCAACTAGCTATAAGATTAAACAATTATTGTAATTTGTATTAAAACAGAATATGTGATTAGATACCAAAATTTATGCAAAATATAAACTGTCCAAATACAAGTTTTATAAACCTTAAACCCCGTAAGATTTAACTAACAAGGCCAAGGATTAAGTGGAGAAAAGTCAACGAAGTAGGACCCCTTTATTATTACAGGTATAAAATAGTAATATAATTATTAAAAATGTGAAAATGTTTTATTTTTGGTATCTTGTTATTTTGCATTCCTATCTTCACCGTTCATAATTGGCCTTTTGCTATTCCAAGTATTCTCCTGTAAACTCTCCTGCACAAAGTACAAATGAAGGAACTAGTCAATGGATTTTTGAGAAGCATTATTAAATTAAACGAATCCAGTAACTCATGAACAAAGATGGAGTTTTCAAATAAATATAATAAAAACAAATGCATCTGAAACAATATTTCTGGTGATGCAGAAGGCACCTTACGACTGCTGTGCCCTTTCCCCATGCGTTTTGGTGCCTGTAACCGAGTTCTGGTTAGTGGAATTTGAAGCGATGTTTCATGTGCAGAACATGTGCAGAACATGTAACATCACAAATGTAGTTACAAATGATTACACATATGTGAATTTTGGTCTGCACATTTGTATGTAAAGAGGCAATTAATCGTAAGCTGAGAAAATTTTTAAAATTAAAGTTATAAAATGAGTATTTTTAGCTCATTTAGTAACAGGTACTTAAAACAACTATTTCAATTTTGATAACCAAATCATATTTGACCATAATTTACAAAACATAACTTTTAATGGCATCTTAAAGACATGGTTACAGCAGAACTATCTATTAAATTAAAAGAAGGAAGGAAAGTCATGTACACATCTTAAAGGATGCTGAAGCTTTTCAAACCCATTCTTTTAAAAGGCTTTCAATCCACCTTCAGGTATATCAATATAACATCTTTTAAAAAGTTTTATGTGCTTGCAGAAAAAGGCGAAATCAGTGCTGATCATGTGTCTGCCTATCAAGTATTTTTATGTGATTATCCTTATAACCATTATAATTAAGTCACATTTATATATATTCAGATGTGCCTGATTCAACTAATCACTTGCAGACCGAAAAATGCTCAACTTAGAAAAGGCTGAAACAAATGACAACTAGAAATGGCTGTATCACTGTACCTGTTAAGATACAGCCTTAAATCTTAGCTTTGCTATATATTATTTGGTACTTTTGGATTCAGTGGCTGGGGTAAAAAAAAGTTTCTGTATTCAAACCTATCTACAGAATGTCAATAAAAAATGTGTGGATATATACACTTAATATACACACATACACATACAGACATACGTATCTAGAACCAGCACCTAACCATATCCCCACTTCTCGTTAATGACTCAATGAGTCATTTATTCCTTTAAGACCAGGTTAGATTCTATAAGGCTGTGACAACATATGGCTAAAGAGGTCAGACACAAGCACCCACACTTGGGCCGGATTAAATTGTTCCTCTTCATGATTTTTGACAAGTAGTAATACCACTTATGTAACAACTATACCTCAATAACTTAGAATTCAGAGTATAAAACCATAAACATGGGACTCTCACTGTTTTCAGAGTACTCCTTCCACGCTACTCCCACTAACTGATAACAGGGCACACGAAACTAGATCACTGAACTGTACAAATGATCTTCACTCTTAGTCTAAACAGACATGTGTTAAAACATTCTGAAATGCCGCATCCTTCGATTTCTTCATTTTTTCAATTGCCCGATGCAGGTCCTGCTGTTGTACAGGCCGGATTTCATCTTCATCATGACTAAAACGCAAACAAAATCACCGAGTATTCAAATAATTTTAGTTACACCTCCCTAAAATATTTTACCAAGATTAAAAAATGCATGTGGTAAAAAAATAAAATAAATTTGCCTTTGAATTTACAAGAGTATAATAATGTTTCTTTCCCACTCTAGACCTCAAAGACAGCCATAATTAACACTAGAAACAAATTCTTACAGGAATTATTTACACATATACAAGCTATAAAAAACTTTTAACACAACTGCTAAGAAGTAGGAAATTAAAAGGCTGCAAAGGTCAAAAGCATTCTCACCTTTGCTCAAGTATGGGATTAATCTAGCAATAAACACAGTGAACCTCTCCACAATGACTTTCAGGAGCGCTGACAATGGGACTAGGACCAGTAGCAGTACCTACACAGCTACCAGGTGACAGGGCGGCTTTAATGCATACCTTTTTAAAAACAAAAGCAAGTTTTTTGGACGCACTTGCCATGGCAACACGTTAATTAAACACAAGGACACCACAGGCAAATGAGGCGTGTTGGAGGGAAAACGTCAGGGAGCTCAGGAAGGGAGACTGAGAAACACAGGGGCAGGAGTTGGAGAACTCCACACAATTCTCCAAAATGTACTTGTTTACTGACAGTTACAGAAATTCTTTGTTAGTAAGTTGATATTCCAGAAAGATATGCAGTGTAGTACTGATTTAGAGCAAGCAGCCCTTTGGGAAACTTTTAGGTGGAATTATTCCAGTCTACTAATATTTTGGCTGGAATAAAGGTACTACAAAACAGATTTCCCAAGCTCACCATACTTTGAAATTGTTTTCAAATAAAATTTGCTTTAGTGACAAACAGTTTGTTCAGGAAATACATTATTGTTAAAGTTGAGGCCTAGTCCTCAGCAGCCCCATGTACCCTTCATTTACGTAAGAAATTTCTAGAAGACAAGGCACTCATTTCTATATACAATGGAATTTACAATGCAGAAGCAATCCAGAGCTGCTAGAGAACTCTATTTTCCTAAAAGATGTGAAACATAGGTTTCTATCAGTTTTCTATGACTCATTCCCCAGATTACCCAGAGAAATTCATCTCTCTCATTCTAGAATCTCCCCAGTCCTTCTCTTCATTTTCAGAACTTCCCCTTAGAAAAATGGCAATAAATAAAGGGGTTTGCTAATTCAAATTTATATTTTACTCCTTTAAGCAGAGTTGCCATTATAAAGTAAAACAGAACAACTACAAAAACAAAGCTAACCTACCAGCTCTAACAGGTTTGATAACACTAGAAATCCAGTCCAAGTCTACATACCTTTCCTCTGATGTAGAATTAACATATTCCCTGACACAGAGGAGGGCAGCATCTCGACACATCTCTTTTAGATCACTTCCTGAGAACCCATCAGTTTCTTGAGCAACTTCTAGCAGGTCTACGTGCCTGTCCACCTTAAAGAAATATGAAACATGCTTAAAAAGCAGATACACAATATACTGCAAACATCTATCTTAAAGAAATTTAAGGATACTGCAACACTTAAAAAGTGAAACATTAAAAAATGCTTTTGGTTTCTAGAAGCTTTTTAACCATAAAAGCTTACAGTTGAAATGTAATACTCATTATCTGTATAATGACTAAAATAGAAGTCTCACTGGATACACTGGTATGATGGGGCAGAGGAGACATTCAAACACTGCTGGATTAACACTGGTACCTCTCAGGAAGGTACTGAGTTGATGTTCCTATAATATATTCAACACATTTGACAAATAGCCCGTATTATTAAGTCCAGTGTCCATTACAAAAAAAAGACTTCGTTTAACTTTCCTTTGAAATGTAATGCTTTGATATTCCACCACCTCAACACTACTTTTACATTTTAGTTTTGTTCCCCAACCTAAGGTTATAGTGAAACCAAGTAACTTGCTTTTAACTCAAAGCAAGTAACAGTCATGGAAGAATAAAGCAAGGAAAATGTATTTAATCATCTAGTAAATGATTCCTTTGCCTCATTCACTCATTAATCCCGCCAGGTAAGCACTGTCATTTTCTGGAGAAGGTTACCAGGTCACAATGTAGGAAAAGTCGAACTGTGTTTTACCCAGAAGAGCAACCACCTGCCAAAATGACATCTATTTCCCCCAGTGGTGGCAAACCTATGGCACGTGTGCTGTTTTTCTTCTAAAACAAAAGATGTTAATTATAACATCTCTTTTTCTGAAGTAAAACATCAATATTCAGGTTTAATTGAAGTATTGGCACTTTGTCATAAGTAAAATGGATTTGGGGTTGCAGTTTGGGCATTCATCTCTAAAAGGTTCGCCAACACTGATTTTCCCCAATGATGTAAAATGCTGTCTTTACTAATTTCCCATCTACACTTGTGGAAGACTCATGTTTGAATAAACAGTAGCTGGGAATATAGCTCAGCGGCAAAGCACCTGCCTGGCAAGAACAAGGTCGTTAGTTCAATTCCTGGTACCAAAAGAAAAAATAAATAAATAAATGAAACAGTAATTCTACATACAGTCTGGGGACTTGAACATGCAAGAATATGGGGTCTACTGCTAGCTCTGTAACTCTGACCTCAAATGATAGTGCTCTCATTCCAAAATGTGAGAGCCAAATGAAGAGAAATCACGTACTGTGATAAAAAGAACTAAGCAAGAAAACAGGAGTGTGCAAGTGGCAAAGAAAACAAAATCATGAAAAAACATAAATCTAAACAACCTTTACAATTAATCATCATTTAATTTGGGGTAAAAAATAATGAGGAACCAAAATGTTGGCTTGGAAGAGCATGTAAGACGCAGGGAGCATCTATAGTTAAGACATTCTAACGTCTTACAATTCCAGCACTGCAAAGAGGGCAGATACTAGTAATTAGACTTTACACACACATGTCAAAAAATATTAGAAGTATCACTAAAGAATAGCAAAAAAATATGTGACTGCAATGAGTACAGAAAGGTTTAAAAGGGAGGAAAAATGTAAGAGCTGTAATAATGAGCACGGGACACGGGGGTAGAGGTGGAAAGCAAAAGAAAGACACGCCAAATGGAAAGCATTGAAATAGGAATGCATTCCAAGTCATCAGCAACCACCACAAACGCAAACAGACTAAGCTAAGCTAGTTAAAGACATAAAATTTTTAAAATGTACCCATCTGAGGTTTAAATAATTACATCTACCCTAAAGAAAAAAGCTTTGTGTTGCATTTGAAAGAAAAATTGTTGACACCAATTGCACGCCTGTCATCTCAGCTACTTAGGAGGCTGACGCAGAAGGACTACAAGTTTAAGCAACTTCAATTCTGTCTCAAATTAAAAAAGAATAAAAAAGACTGGGAATGTAGTTTAATATCAGGCTCTCCCTAGGTTTAATCCCCAACACTACAAAAAAAAAAAAAAAAAGTCAAAAATAAGAGGTCGAAAAATGACATACAAGGCAAATAGTAGCTGAAAGAAATTTGGTTCTTGTCCAACTCAGTTTGTGATCAGAATCATGGAAAGATTCAACCGAGGTACCACTGTATTAGTTTCTGTTTACATATATTCATGGAGCTAATAAATTCTATCAACTTCTAGACAGCAGGTTAGGTCGTGATGGGGTGCAGGTAAACAGAAGTTGCAGCATTTAGTCATTAAAGCTATACTTGTTTTAAAAACATGAAGTGAAAGAAATAAATATAAAGTAACTTTAAAAACATCTGAAGCAAATATTACATATATTAAAAGTAACCTGTTAAATCTGGGCAACAGATACAAGACTACTTGTTTATATGTTTGAAACACTTTATAAACTTAAAAAACTACCTTAAAAGACTTTCCAAATTATATGCTGAGGTGGTTAAAATCAGTCCTCCTCTCTCCGATGAATCAATACATTCACGCTACTATTTCCTAAACAGTCGTACACACTTTGTGTATGACTGAATGATATGGTTACAAAGATGAACAAAGCAAGAAGGAAGGTTCCAGTCACTTCTCTGTGTGACCCTGAGCAAGTTACTGTCTAACTTCTCTACTACCTCAACTGTAAAATAGGACTAAAATGCACTCTGTAGAAAACTGAGGCACAAATTGGGCATGGTGGCACACGTCTGTAATCCCAGCACTTGGGAGGCTGAGGCAGGAGGATTATCACAAGTTTGAGGCCTGCCTGAACTACATAATGAGACCCTGTCTCAAAAAACAAAAACAAACAAAAAAAAAGAAAACTGAGGCATAAACAGAACAATGTATAACTCACCACAATGCTTGGTACACATAGAAAGCACTCAAAAAGTAGCCCATTTTATTGTTAGATATACACATTAGATATTCATGAAAAAATAAGCAAAATTAGAAAAAAGCACAGAGAGCATTTTTCTTTTCCTTTTTGCAGTGCGAGGGATGGAACTCAGTCTCCCACATGATAGGCAGGTGCTCTGCCATGAACTTCTTCCCGTAACCCAAGAACAGCATTTATTTACACACAGTTATTCATTATCATATACTGAGTGTTAATATCTGTACTAACATACCTGTTAATATTTGTGATATTCTAAGAAGTTTACATATATAATTTTGTTAAATTCTTAAAATGATTCCATGAGTTTGCTGGCTTCTGTTTTTCAAATGAGAAAAATGAGGCACAGAGACGCTAAACCATATTTCGCCAATGACGCACTGAAGGGAAGTGTCAAGCCAAAATGTGGGAGATCCTCGGGTCTGCCTCCAAAGCGTATGCTTGTTGACTGTGTCCATTATGTTACATAAAATGTCTCACCTCAGGCAGTTTGAGGAAAAAAAGCTACTTCCTTACTTTAGAATCAGACATGATGCATTTATATGATATAAATTTTATTAATGGTAATTCCTTTTCTACACTAGTTCAAACTTTAACGGTGTGTCACACACCTGTAATCCCCATACTCTTGGAGGTTAAGGCAGGAGCATTAGCAAATTCAAACCCAACCCGGGCAATTTAGTGAGACCTTATCTCAAAATTGTAAAAACAATTTTGATAGATAGACAGACAGACAGATAGACAAATGGACGGATGGACAGAGGGACAGAGAGACGGTCGGTCTGGGGATAAAGCTCAATGCAAAGGCCCTGGGTTCAATCTCCCATATCACACACATACAAAAACAAAAACAAGCAAGCAAACTTTTAAGCCTGAACTATCTTTTTTTTTTAAAGACAAGATATTATTATGCTAAGCCGGCCTTGAACTCCTAGACTTCAGCATTCCTCCTATCTTACCCAAACTAGCTGGGACTCCTCCAAATTAGCTGGGACTACAAGTGTACACCATCACTCTCAGCTTACCCTACCTTTTTTAAAGAAGAGAATCATGTTAAACAACTCTATTAATAAAGAATTTAAAAGTGTAGAATGCTGGATCACTTCAAAAGCATCAATATATTCTTTAGAGAAGAAAAACTCACAAAACATAAAAGTCCAATAGTTCATTTTTACTAACAAACCCTTGTTCTGCTCAGTAACGTATAAGCGTGATGGTGCTCACTTATGAAATAGGTGCTACTGACGTGAGGCATCTTTTAACAAAATTGTATGAACTTCTTTCCAATTTTATTGAAGAAGCAATATACCTTCAACATATAAATACTACCTATTGGTAAACACATAACAAGGCTAGGCATTAGCAGAAGGAAAAAATTAGTTAACAAGTGCTTTTGAATGAGAGTGACCACAGTGTAGCTAGAAATTTAAATACTATTAAGAAGTAGTTGTTTATAATTTTATAGAAACTTCAAGTTAAACAATACATTACGTAATTTTTCAAAATTTAATGGAAGATTGTATTGCCTAACTCAGTAACATTTTTAAATTTAAATATTCTTTCCTTCTGCTAATGCCTAGCCTTGTTATATGTTTATCAATGAAGTGTTTTATCTAAATAGCACTACAACTATACAATGGCATTGTGAAAGCCGTTATCAAATATCAAGTCAAAAGGCAAACTGTAATTTCCTGATTTCTTGTCTAAGATAGGAACAGCTGACCTAAAAAACAGGATTTTTGGAATTTCCCTGAAACTGTACAAAACAGTTCATGTACATATGTAGTTTTCCTAGGAAAAGCTGTATAATTTTTAGCTCTTTTTCAAAGGGCCCTACACCCCAGACATGGTTAATAGGGCTTAATCTTTACAATCTGATAGGTTCTTTAAGCTTTAAGTACCATATATCACTAGTATGGTTCAGGTAAGGGACCCAAATTCATGTGCTGGGAACTCAATCTCCAATGCAATGCTGCTGGGAAGTGGAGCCCAATGGAAGAGGCTTGGATTGTGGGGATGTAGGCCCCAAGAATAGCCCTGTATCAGACAGTGGGTTAGTTATGGAGTCTGCAGGTCGCACTGTGTCTCTTCTGCATGTGCTCACTCTCCCTTATCCTTTTGTGCCATGAGCTAACAAGAGCATGAAAGCCCTTACCAGACGCTTAGAACTTTGCCTCCAGAACTATGGACTAAATAAACTTCTTTTCCTTATATATTACTCACCTGGGGTAGTCTGTTATAGCAATAGCAAATGGACTAAGACAGTTATTTTGATATATTTTATTGTTTTTTTTTGTTTTTTTTTTTTGGGTACCAGAAATTGAACTCACGACCTCATGCTTGCCAGGCACGCACTTGCGCCACTGAGCTATATCCCAGGCCCATTTTGATATATTTTAAATAAATTCAAATACTGCTGAAAGACATAAAGGAAGATTTAACTAGAAACACTATACTATTAGGCAGAAAATGTCAACACTGAAAAAGATCTTAATTCTCTTGAATGATGAAGTACAAATGCTTATTTTTCCTAAGTAAGACAAACTGATTCTAAAATTCATACAGAAAAAAAAACCCATACAAAGAAAAAAAAAATAATAACTTTCAGGCTGGAGTACAACATGAGGGTATCTAGCCCTACTAATTATTACAATTTACAAAGCTTTAATAATTAGTGTGCTACTAGTGCATACAGAACAATGACCTCAATTCAAAGCCTAGAAACCCATTCAATATATGTAAGAATTTGATAAAGCTGGTATCTTTAGTGAGGAATAAATGGCCTATTTAATAAATGGTGCTTGGATAATTCAGAATCCATCTAGGGAAACAAAAGGAAAGTGGGACTCACAGTACACTATCCAGGCAAATTCCTAATAAAGCGAAGATTTTAACGTAAAACATAAAACCATAGACATGCAGATACTACCTATCTCCTGATGTAAAAATATAATTCCACCTAAGAAGCAGTCCTGTCTTTTCTTCCCTCCCCACCAACATGAACCTGAATCTCATGTGGTCTCCTGACCCAACCAAATGTAGAGTATAACTGCTTGTGTAATCAGCAAAACTTGGACTGTGGAAAATAACTTTAAAAGTAAAGTGGGAGAAAGAGGAAACGGAGATAGAAGAAACTATAGTCTATAGATTACAAGAGACTTAAAAACTAGAATAATTGCAAGTTATGAACTTTTACAAATCCTGAGTCAAACAAAAACAGTTAAAACTATAAAGACATTTAGGAAATTTATACAGAAACTAAATTTTCCAGTAGGTATAATATTATTGAGGTTTTTCCATTCTTCTCTCAGATAGAACTAAAATATTTACATATCTAATATGATGAGAAGACATGGGAGGTACAGAAAGAGGGCAGGAAAGGAGCTACGAGTTAGATGGCGATTAGAGAAAACACACAAATCACAGAAATATGAAGGTTGCTGACAAGGGGAATCTATTTGGCTTCTTACTTTAAACGAACTCAGTTTAGGTAACAAGTTTGGGATAGAGAAATACAATGCTACTCAAATACTACATTCAGCTCCAGTTTTAGAAAAAGTAACAGGAGCTTAGAAAATATGTAAAGTGCTTTCATAAACTTAAGAAAAGAAAAAGGTTTTAATTTATATTTAAAATACAAAAGCCACAAATGGAGAAAAAAATTCCCAATAAAAACAAAAATGCAAATTAGAAAAAAATTTTTAAATCATATAAAGAATGAATCTCTTTACACATATAGTTCCTACAAATATTTGTAAAAAAAAGAACCCTAATAAATAAAATGGACAAAGAATGTAATTTCACAGAAAAAAATTTTAAACTCTTAAAAATATGTATTAATACTCATTTCATCTCTAAAGACTGGCTGTCCTATTGGCACAAAATTCCTTAACAAGCTGGATGTGGTGGTACACACTTATTATTCCAGCCTCATGAGGCTGAGGTAGGAGAACTGCAACAAGTTCAAGACCAGCCTGGGCTACATAGACAGTTAAAGGCCACCCTGAATTACACAGCAAGACTCTGTCTCAAGAAACAAGAAGAAAATCAAAATCCATAACAAGGGAAGAGGTATAGTCCATTATTGCTGGTAAACAGGCATGGACAATTTGCAATAGCTATCAAAGTATAAATGTCCTATTCTTGGATCTAGCAATTCCTCTTCCGGAAAATTCACCCTAATAACAGTCCTGCAAAATTGTGCACATGTAAGATCATTCAATGCAGTACTTTTAATTAATAGTGAAAGGCCAGAATCAACCTGAATGTCCTTCAGTACGGCTTGTATTTAATGAGTTACAGTATAGTGACACAAAGGGATCCTACACAGGGCAGAGAAAACAAAATAAGGAAACTCCGTGGTAATATGGAAAGATTACAAACATAAGTGAAAAAAAATCAAGACAGAACAGTGTTCATGGCTCATATGAAAAAAGGAGACAGGAATAACAGCATGTTCTAATGTGCTTGTAGAGGCATAATGCCAATCTGAAAGAATAAAGAAATATAGGGGTGAAGAGACTTCTTCCTTCACACTATTTATGTATTTAAAAATCTGAACCATGTGACTAGATAATCTATTTTTTAAAAACCTTTAAATACAAAGCTATCGAAGATTTGATTATGTTCTAAAATCTAAATTCCAACAACAAAAACAATGCAATTAAGTGAAAACAAATTTTAAAAACCCTCTTTTTTACAAAGGTAAATATTCTTCTATAAGCATAGCCTGGTCTGAAAAATATCAAGAGAATTTTAATCTACAGATACAAAACATACAGCCCTTTAAAAACATACACAAATCACTTAGCTCTAATACATCACAGTCACCAAGTTAAATGAGCAGCCAAAAGTTTTATACCAATGTAGGTCAAATTCAAAGCTACATTGCTCTCAGATTCCTTCTTCATTCCCTCTAAAATGATTTTAGAAAAACAAAAGTACAGCATGTGGGAAAAAAATCATAATTTTCTACTTACATTTTCATTTTTCAAGATGAGCTTCAAAATTGCTTCTCTTTGTTTTAGTGCCTAAAACCAGAATAACTTCCAGTTAGTGTATTTTTTCAAAATAAGGATCAACTAGCTGGGCGTGGTGGTACACACCTGTAATCCTGGTACCCGGGAGGCTGAGGCAGGAAGATTGTTGCGAGTTCAAGACCAGCTTGGGCTACAAAGTGAGCTCAAAGCCAGCCTGAACTGCACAGCAAGACCCTGCCTCAAAAAGACAAAAATAAATAAATAAATGAATAAATAAATAAGGATCAACTTGCTTTCCTACTCTTGCTTCTTTTCTAAACTACCTGATGATACCTATATGAAATAACAAAACTGTGACAGAGGTCAAAGCAAGGTCTTGATTTGAGACTCTAGAGTAACCATCTGTGGCTGTCCTACTGGGCATGGTTTGCTTTAAACTCATGATCTCCCACCTCAAACTATCACATAGCTGAGTTTATAGGTGTACACCACCAACCCCACCCCAAATTAAAGTTCTATCACCGCTGACTCTCGTAGGGACTGGGAAATAATATGCCTTTAATGTTTATTAAGTAAGAGAATGAAATAACTAAGAGTAAAATGTTTTTCCAATATAGCTCTACAATCTTCATTTTTTTCTTCACTTATTGAATTTATAAAATTTACAACTTCCACAAGATTTTTTTTACCAGTAACTGTAAGATACAATAACAATAAACCTTCAATTCTTCCGTTTTGACACACAACTTTTGTTAAAAAATATCAGTGAATTTCTTTTTAGTGTCTAATTTCTCAACAATGATGCCTCTTATGACACCTGAAATCAAAAACTACATTTAACTTTTATAGACTACCATACATATACAGTAAGTATGAATGGTTTTTAAATTATCATGGCTGACACCATTCTTGTTCCTATAACCACTGACAAGGAGTATCAAACCAAATCACCTGAAAAACAAAAGCAAACTGTTCCCACAATTCAAGTGTGTTCAGCAGGAAGGTTAAATTGTATGTTATGGGATCACCAATAAGTACTTTTTGTTAATGGGTATTTTACTTGGAAAAAATGTTTTAAGGTAAGATTAATAATACAAATTGACATTGTAGTTACGCAAGACAAAAATTCCACAACAACATCTGTGTGTATTCCTTAAAATGAGAATGAAAAAGATGTAACAAAATTCTAGTTTCTATGTTAACTGCATACAAATTTATAACAAATCTGGTGAAACCAGTTATAATTAATTTTGCTAAAACACAATATATTAAATTTACAACTAGGGGCTGGGGATTTAGCTCAGCAGCACAGTGCCTTCCTGGCAAGCGCGAGGTCATGTGTTTGATTCCTGGTACCGAAAAAAAACCAAATAAATTTATAACTTTAACAAAGGCTACTTTCCATCTTGCACCCTGTGTTCTATACCACTGTACATCAAAAATCTGTCTTCTATTTAATTACAAGGTAACTAATACTTGATGTATACTACACATCAATAAACCTTAGCTGTCTATTAGAACATAAATGAATTACTGATAAAGATCATTAATCTTAGGTTTCAAATAAACTAAGATAAACTAACTGTCTTTAAACTGTCTTAAAATTAAGCTTACAAAGTATTTTAAACTCTTGTGCAAAGCACACCAAGTTCATACAAACCAGGCGGCTCCACCTTCCGGAGCCTCATCTCCATGCAGCTTCCTTGGTGGCCTAACCGAACCACCCCAAAAAATCACGCATAAAGTGTGCCTCCACACTGCATTCCCTTTACCATTCTGCCGGGAAACCTTCTCCTTATCTCATTTGCCTGTCAGGTTCCTCCTATACTGGCACAAACCCAAGCAGATTCTGTGAATCCCAGAGTCCACAGGCAGAATTAGAAATTTCTGTCAACATCTCAGGCTCTCACAGTTCTCTACACTTACTTTTAGAAAGCACATTTTACAGTATTTGTCTGCTTTCCCGCAACAGAGTTGGAAGGAAAAGAGCCGTGTTCTAATCACTGAAGCCTAGTAAGTATCTAGCACATGTTATTGCTCAATAAATACTAACTATGCTAAATAAAATTTATATTCTATATTGAATCTCCTCACTGATTTATGAGGTAATTTTCAAATACAGTGGTTAAGTATGAACCACAGGTTACAGCTATAGCAAACAGCTCATCAGGGTAATTTTACAGAAGCCATACCACTAACTTGAGGAGACTATATTTATTGCCACAGCTGATCAAAGTAAGTTACAAAATATTAATGGGATCAATGATTTTTTAGACAAAGATTACAAATGGAACTAAAAATTTGTACTCCTAAATCTAAAAGTGACAAACTAAAAACTCCTCTGAAAGGCTACAAATGTAACATATTGATTATGTGCCCCAATTCCTTCCCTGTTTGTTATAAATGAGTCCCATGAAATAAAACATTCCCCTCTTAAAAATCACAGATATTGTTACCTGTTAAAAAGGCAAATATTTAACTATCAATAATATAATCAAGACCACCTACAGGCTGGTTGATATGAAATCTTGTAGGCATTCTTCTCATTATAGCAGAGTCCAGGTCCTGAGGACGATTAGTAGCTCCCATCACTATGACCTAAACACAGAAAGACAACACAAGGTATTAAATCTATCAATAGTACTCTGAGGTCATTATTATTAGGACTTAGAGGATAAAGAAAATTAGGTGATTTTTACACTAAATCTTTTATGAGAAATTTGATGTTATTCTAGTATTACTCAAATAATTATAGATAAAATTGAAGTTAATCTTAAATCAAATAATAGTAATCTGGAAAGACCAATGCATTTCACTCCACATGTGGTAACTAAAATATATACTATTCAGTTGCAAATCTGTAATATATACATATAAATATACAGAGAATCTCCACGTATACATAGTATTATATATATATGTACGTATATGTTAATATACCATGAATCTTTCTCTAGATTTCACAACATCTCATTGCACTGTCAGCAATCCAACTTTAAACAAAGGCAAGAGAGTAAAAGTGAACATCAAAATGCTTGCAGGGAACTGGGTATGCACGGACTTGCCTAGCATGTTTGAAGCCTTAAATAAAAAAGAAGTATATTTCCGAAGGACATCAATGCTTCAGTGTAACTCAGTAACAGCACACATCTGCTCTCCAAAATGAAATTCATTAGTATTACTGGAAATGAGCTGGAAACTGGGAACACTCTCTAACATTATTTTTGCCTCAAGTTTTAAATTTCTGAACTATTAACTCCAAAGCAAGCTAAATATCCACCAGATCTTGTATTCTACTTCTACTCTTTACATTCAGTGATATTTAATAGCACTGAAGCCAAACTACTCAACTGAGTTTGCCACCTAGTGGAGAAATAAACAAATACAAATATAAATTTCAGAAATGTTAGTTCCATACAAGTATGTAATTCTGTATTTTAATTAAGTGGTCCTGGAATTAAAGTATTAATGCTTATATCCTTTTCTTGTTATTGTCTTACAACTTCAAAAAATTTTAAAAATTTCTACCAAATGTACAAGTCAGATAAACATGATTAAATGGATGAACTAAATGAGATAATGAGTATAAGTAAGGATCTTTTGATATAGTGTTAAAAGAAAAATTCAAAAGTAATATGGGGAGCCGGAGGTATAGCTCAGCGGCACAAGTGCCTGCCTGGCAAGCATAAGGTCCTGAGTTCGATTTCCAGGACTAAAAAAAACAAAAGTAATATGGAAACTTGTTAAAGACTAGCCATATTCAGTTACAGAGATCACAGAAAGCACCATGGTTGGGGCAGTGGTTGAAAAAATCTGAAAAATGCACATTTTGAGAAACATTCTAGATTTAAAAAAAAAAAAAAAAAGCCTAACACAAAATAAAAATGGAAGTATGGAAGATGAATGGTAAAAGATACAATTAAAGAACTCAAATGAACCTAGCCTAATATGGTCCAATGAATACATACAGGATAATGAAAGGTGTTTATCGTGAAAAAGCAAACGTGATTCAGATTACTTGTAGTTTCAGCTGAGTAAAAATGTTAAGGAATGATTTTAAGGGGAAAAATGGACTCTTTACACATATATTTGATTAGAACTATGAGTTCTATTTCGTACACACACATTAATTCTATTTAGCACATTAGTACAATTGAGCTAAAATTCAAAATGGTAAATAACATTAATTTTTTAGTAAACTACAAAAATCAGTGCATCATCTAGATAATAGTTGTTAAAAGTTTTTGAAAACCCTTAAAACATGAAGATAAATTTTATCATTCATGCATACTTGTAATTCTAGTTACTTTAGCAAGATCTTACCTCAAAATGAAAACTTAAAAAGGTCTGGGATGTAACTCAGTGGTAGACTACTTGCCTAGCACTAGCCAATCCCTGGGTTCACTCCCCAAAATTCTATCATTTTCCATTTAAAATAATCAGATATAAATGTATACCTTAAAATTTTTAACTTCTCCAGTGAGTACCCTAAAAACATTGTTAGCTTGTATATCTCATTTTTTAAGGTGAAGAATGTATCATCAGTAATTAAGTTTTCTGGTAGTGGTGATGGTTTCATTGGATCATTCACTGTATTTGTTGCTGTGTGAATATAATCACAAGGAAAGCTAGCTAGGTTTCTGGGTTCCACCTGTAGTCACAGAAAAGGTAACTTTACTACTTGGGAAGCTGAGGCAGGAGGATTGCAAGATCAAGGCCAGCCTGGGCCATTTATTTAGATCCTGTCTCATTAAAGAAAAAAAGGGAAGTGGGGAAACTGGAAATATAGCTTAACACTCTGTGGGTTCAACAACCTGCACTGAAAAAATATAACATCATTTTAGAGAACAGCTAACTGGTTCATATGTAAATGCTTTAAATACCATTGCTCAGGAAGATAATTAGTTTTTAGCAACTTGTAAATTCCCATTGACAAAATCCACAGATTTATCAGAACCAACTATTAATAGAAAGGGTTTCTGTTAATGCCACGTAAATTTACATTGTGCTTTCTTCTCTAAACATTCAACAAAGCTAAAGGCTTTCTCACAATAAAACTATACTTCCGGGGGCTGGGGATTTAGCTCAGGGGCAAAGCGCCTGCCTGGCAAGCGCAAGGTCGTGAGTTTGGTTCCTGGTACCGGAGAAAAACCAAAAAAAAAAAGCAAAAAACAAAAAACAAAAAACTATACTTCCATAAAAGTGATATAGGAGGTCATGTGACTTTATGTTCTTCTTCAGAATCATGTGGTTCACTTTTGATTTATGGTAATGTAACCCTTAAACCTGCTGACAACAAAACATGTAAAAATAATGAAGCATTTTTAAAAACTCAAACAAATTCATCCACAAGTCTGCAAATAAAGGAATTAGGGGGAGACCAGCAGTAAAACCTCTACATAGGAAGGCAAGCAGTGGAGAAATGACTACATACCACACAGATCCTAGAAAGTAGGGTGTGTTCTAAATACCTTGCAGGTCACCAGGAAGCCTCATGAGCAGCATTCTACATAAAGCAAGGCTCATGAAGTACCACACACTGTGAAGTGGTGACATGTTAGAACCTACTCAGCAGAGGTAGGCCTTGTGGGGTGGGAATAGTGATCACAAAACTCCTGATATTTAATATCTACAGTCAACACAGAGCGATTTTGAATCTGTATCTACTTATTGGTTGGAAAAAAATAATCTGGCAGAAGACAAATATAAAATTTCCTTAGAGAAACAAACCTCCAAAACAGATACAAAGAATTCACAAATGAAGTCCTACCAAATAGAAGTTTTCCACTAAATCATAAAAACACACACTATAAACTCAAACAACAAATGACAGAACTAAATGTATGAACAGTTGTCTTAGAATTATTGAATGTAAACTATAAAAAAGTATGTTAGCATATTTTAAGGAATAAAATATATGCCACGCACCTTTAATAAGCACTTTACTCAGACCAATTCCAACTATTCTGGAGTGGAGAATATTCTACCTTTTTTTATAGATATTTGTTCCTTTACACAGATATATAGTAATTATGAAATGTAGCCAAGGTCAACACGGCTAGTTAATGCCAGGACTCTGATTTCTAAAACAATTAGATACATAAGCAACCAGCAAGTATCCTCAAAATGGACCTGGTGGACTTGAAAAATCATCTAAAAGAATTGCTAGAACTTTAAAAAACTGCAATAAGTAGTTCAATGCTTCCATTCATAACAGAAGAGCTCCAAATGAACAGAGAATCATCAACTAAAAAAAAAGAGCTAAAGAAATCACCTGGAAGATGTTACAAAGAAACACAAACTGTGAAAGGAAGACACAGAATATAAATAATGTCCTAAAAATACCTACAGGAGACAAAATACAGGGAATGAAAAGACAATGGCTAAATGAAAGTGTCCGAATTATTAAACAGTGATGACACGGCTGGGGGAATAGCATGTGCACGGCCCTGGGGCTCCATCCCATCACTGAAAAGGAAAAGTGGTAAGAAAAGATGTGAGTATTGATATATATTACGTTTACAGAGCAAAAGAAGATTACAAAATAATAAATATCTTCTAAGGTTAAAACAAGAGAATATTAACATTTGCATGTCATTCATTAAAAAAATGGAAAAGTAGGTTTAGGACTTGCATTTCCAACAATATGGCAGAAAAACAAACATGCCAAGTCAATATTAAATCTTCTTTCAAAATACAGCAGTGAGCTGGCAACAAAGCAGAATCTTCGGAGGTTCAGTCAGTGAAAGTGAGAAGCCAGAGAGCTGGCTTTCCCTTTGGAGACATCACAAGAGAACTTAGATGGGGTTTTCACAGCCTTCTAGGGGGAAGAACCAAAACTGAAATAGAAGACTGTTTTGCACAAAAGTGAAATTCTAAAGGAAGGAACGAAACTAATGAACACAATAAAATGAAAATAAGATACGGGTAGGAAGACTGAGAGTAAAGATAGTAAAGACACATTAAGAGTCCCAGATAAAAAACCAAAGAGAAAGAAATCACGTACAGACACCTACAGAGACTAGTCACTTCCTCTTCCTTGGCATAGTGCTTCTCAACCTTAGGACAGGCCTGATTCTGGTTTTCTCTCTGTCAATGCATTTGTTTCAGGCACACCGGCAATCTATTAGTGTTTTGTTAAACATGAAGCCCTTAAAAAGGATAATTTACACAAACTATATTCTTTTGGATCCTCATCAATTAATGATAAATATAAAAATTAGGAGAAAGAACTTTATACAAAAGTATAGGTAGCCCACTAAACCTTGTACTAATACAAACAATGCAAGTTTGGGGCAACACAAGTTTTGTTGAAATACCTGGCAGCTGTGATCAGTATCCAACCCATCCCAGAGACTCATAAACTGAGCTTTCATCATAGCTGTAGCTTCATGGTCAGAGCTTGAACGGTTTCGTAGAAAGGAGTCTAAAAGGAAAAGTCCTTAACTTTAAAAATTAATGAATTATTTATTCTGCATATAATCTAAATCATTTAATTAAAAGCTTACAATTTAATGGAAGATTACAAGAAGGGGTTAACCATACCTTTAAGACATTACAATCCTAGTAAGTTATTGAGCAAATTAAAACACAGTCAATTCATAATCTTCATTTCTTTCCTAAAAACACATTCCTGTTAATATATAGAAAAGAAATAAAGGCTCTGGCAGTAGGAGGCTGGGAAAGGGTAAAATAGCATCTTGGAGGACAGCCTGTGTGCTCTGTCCCTCCCTTTCCAGTTTACCTGAACCCCACATTCTTACTTATAGACTCACATTCTCTTTCCTCATACATCTTCCTGGTAATAAAAAAAATGATATGGGAAACTGTCTAAAATACAATTAAATAGGAAAATGTAGGGGAGAATAACAGTTTAAAACACGTGTACTAGCCAAGCATAGTGGTGCATGCCTATAATCACAACTACACAGGTCACAAGTTTGAGGTCAGCATGACAAAAACTGTCTCAGAATAAAATACGAAGGGCTGGGGGTATAGCTCAGCACTCCCTGGGTTCAATCTCAAGTATTGTACCACAAAAAACAACAATTAAAGAAACACCCATACATGTAATAACCTTCATTGTATGTAAGTTACACATGAGAAAAAGCCTTTAGTGAAGTAACACCAAAATGCTACAAAAACTTCAGTTCTCTCTCAGAGATGGACTGAGGGACAAATTTAACATCTCTCTGATACTATTTTCTGTCTTCCAAAGTAACTACAGTGAACATAAAAAGGTTTTTTTTAGGGGAAAAACAGTCCTTTTAGAAAATGGAAAGATTGAAAGGTGTTAATATCTTAATGAAATATTCTAGAATAATCTTTAATTTCATTGGTTGTTTATATCTAAAAATCACTAATATTTCTAAGTAATTGTCATATTTTAGCATTAAAACCACAAAGTTTACCAATTACAATATACCCAAATGGCATGAAAATATTTTACAATGTGTTAGGTCCAAGATTCAAAACAACATTTTTCAAGAAGTAACCCCAGCAAAAGCATAATACCAAAACATAATAGTCCTGCAACAGCAAATATATATGATAGATATTCCTCCAAAGCTCCAATTTTATACAATACGTATAAAATTTTATACACTGCTAATGACGACTCCAATTTTATACACTGCTAACGACGACTCAGACTAAGGGTAGCTTTACGTATGACCTAGTGACTATGCTCTGACATAGTCAGCTAAGATGCAAACTTATGGTCATGCAAAGAACTAAACATGAATGTTATTAGCAGTTTTACTCATAATTACCTAAAACAAGGTATCTTTCAATACATGAATGGATAAAGACATCTTGGTCTATCCCTAAAATGGAATATTATTTGTCAACAAAACGAAGTAGTCGAGTCATGAAAAGGTACAAAGAAACGTTAAATTATACTACTAAGTGAAAAAGCTAGTCTGAAAAGACAACAGACTATGATTTCAACTCCATGACATACTGGAAAAGGCAAAACAATACAGATAGTAAAATGACCAGCAGCTGCCAGGAGTTTGCAAGTTAGGAGAGAGGGGATGAATAGGTGAAGCACAGAGGACTGTTAGGCAGTTCAACTGTTCTGTATGATACTGTAATAGTACACAGTATACACTAAGTATTTGTCAAATCTCACTAAACTATACAGAGAATGAGGCGTAAGGTAAAGTATGGGCTTAATACTACAGTAATGGTTCACTTATTGCAACAAATGAATCACACTAATGCACAGTAACAGGGGAAATTGTATATATGGGAACTTTAATTTCTGCTTAGTTCTATAAATCGGAATTCTTCTGAAAAGATCTACTACTTTCAAAAACTGGTTAATAAAGATCTGACACCACAAGAAGAAAGGAAAACAAACCCTGGATTTTAGCGGGGATAGGAACTGAAAGTAAGGGTAGGGAAGACCTTGAGGCGCTTATGCCACTGTCATGCATACAAGTGGGAATGTATGGTACTGAAAGGTTCTACTTTACTGCTAATATCCACGCGTAAACTGAAGCCACGAAGCTCGGAAGGAAGAACACTCACAGAGCGTGTAGATAAGAAAAAAGATTCCATTCACTATTATGAGTATGTTATAGGAAAGCTTATCTTTGTCTAGATTCTGAGAGGAAGTATTTCTTCCCTCACAAGTGAAAAAAAACAGGACCATGTAGGAGGAGCAGGGTGTCCCTTCACAGGTATAAAGTCTGTCATGGCTGTGTCTAGATGTCCCCCAGAGCCTCATGCAGTCATAGGTGGAGCTTTTTGGAGGTGGCTGGATCTAGAGTATATGATGCTAGGATTGAGGGTGCCCCACCTTGGGTATGAGTGTTACCTGCCCTAAGGACAGTACCCTAGATAGAATATAAGGGACAGAAAGAGGGCTGCCGTTGTCACTGCTTGTCAATGGCTGCTTGCCACCCTCTGCCTGCCCTGCTTTGCCATGGACTATGTCTGCAATGCCTCTCTGCCATGCACCCTGCCTTAAAGCCAGCTAACTATAAACCACAATCTCTACAAAGTGTGAGCTACAATAAACCTTACCTTACAAGTTATTTAAAGACAATAATATGCAATGTAACAATCATTATTGAATTCCTACCATTTTGTTTAATGAAGCTCTGTATCATCTCTACTTTTTTTTAATTACTTCTTATTGTCTTTAATTGTTTGATCAATTTTGCATTCTTACATCTGGTAATCTGAGCAACTTTGTTGAAGATAACAATATGTAATATAACAACCATTGTTAATTCCTATCATCTTGTTTTGAAATCCTGCATCATCCTTACTGTTTTTGTCTTCATTATTGTTATTTTGTTATTATTTTCTTCTCTTTAAAATAAATAAATAAACCCTTCCTTTTTCTAACTTTCGGTGTTGGATATTTTATCTCAGGAATGAGAAAGTAACTAAAACAAAGTCTAAATTGGTACTACCATTTAGTCTAGGAACACCTAAACTGAAAATTATCATAAAAATTGCTCCTGTGTGATGAGGCCCCTGAAGCTTTAAGCAGAAGACAGAAGAAACCACTTTGGATCTTCTGAGGTAACACAGATGTCTCAGATAAAAACAAATCTAAAACCATCTAATATTAGGCCAGTGTTGTGGCACATGCCTGTAACTCCAGCACTTGGAAGGCTGAGGAAGGAAAATCACCACATACTCAAGGCGAGCTTGGACTACACAGTGAACTCAAGATGAGCCTGAACTACACACTGAGACCCTGTCTCAAAAAAACAAAGACAGGGGCCGGGCATATAGCTCAGTGGTTTAAGTGCCTTCCTCGCAAGTGCAAGGTCCTGAGTTTGATTGCCGGTACCTTCCCCTCCCCCAAAAAATACAAACCGAAAAACAACACAATGTTATAAATAACATAAGGCAAAGAAATCACTATGACTTTTGTATAGGTGCTGTCAAAGTAAGCATGTGGAAACCACTATAAAAGTCAACAACATAAGAGAATTAGAATTTCAAACAGAGCAATCCAAAACACTAATTTTAAAATTCTAAAGATATAAAAAAAATCAGAATTTTAACAAAAGAGCAAACTATAGTGACAAAAAGGATAATTTTTTTCGGTACCTGGAATCAAACTCAGGACCTTGCTCTTGCCAGGCAGGCTCTTATGCCACTGAGCTATATCCTTAGCCCCAAAAAGGATAAATTTTAAAAAGAACTGACTAAACCTCTAAAGTTTAAATATAATCAAAAGAATGCAAAATGCAGTGGTTGAGATATTAAATACAGCCAAGGAAAGAACTGTTTTTTATAACCTAATCAACATCTGGATGATTTTTCAAGTTGTACGTATATCAACAAGAAATTTAAAATACTGCCAATTAAACTATGATGTTAAAAAAAAACACTTAAAATATAACATGCTATTCTATTCTCAAGGATGTCAAAATATAAAAAACCAAAACAGCACATCTGAGAAATGAAATGTGAGAGAGAACTAGATGCAAGAACTGCAGAAATGACTTAAAATTAAATAAAAAGATAAACAAAAATTCAATTGGAGAATTACAACATTCAAAGAAAGTTGAGAAAAATTTCCTGAATTACAGCACTGAAAGCCATAAATTCTTAGTTTAGAAACCATTGAGAGACAGGATAAACACAAATCCAGACTCAGAAAAATCATACTCAAATAGCCAAACAACATAAAAATCTAATAAGAACTATGGAGAAAAGATATACTGATTCCTTAGAAATATTAGGCAATAAGTAGAATTTTTTTTTAAAAAAATTGGAAGGTAACAGAATTATAACTTTAAAATGCGAGAGAAAAATAATCCTGTGTCATTTAAGAGATAAGATCAGAGAAAGAATTTACTCTTTACAACAGTTACTGAAAGAATTTTAAAAGACTTCAATATCCGTGTAAATGACAATATGCAAGCATTCTAAGAAAATAAACTACTGGAATTATTACTAGGTAAGCATTCTAAGATTTGGAGGAGGGCAGAAATGTTTAGCTTTAGAATTTAAGTGGGTGTGCCAAACGTTTCACTAAAAGAAAGAGAACATGTAAGTTCTACACCCATATCAGGGAAAAGGGAAACTTAAAAATCCACCAGAGTGATAAATAAAAAGCACAAAATTCCATTGTAGAAATAAATTTGAATGTATCAGCTGTCATAATAAAGGAAAATTTAAGTACACTTCCTAGTTACAGATAAAAACAAATTCAGCTTGGGGCTGGGGATTTAGCTCAGCGGCAAAAGCGCCTGCCTGGCAAGCGCAAGGTCGTGAGTTCGGTTCCCGGTACCGGAGAAAAAACAAAACAAAAACAAACAAACAAACAAAAATTCAGCTATATGTTCTTTTCTTCTATATGCACATCAAAAACCAAAAACAGTTGAAAGAGTAAGTTTGTAAGATACAAAGGCAAATAAGTAACCAAATCTATATATCACATATCTATCTTTCTATAGCCTATCATACTACATATAAGAATATGTAATTGAAAGCTACAGTAATTAAGATATATACATACACACATTATAGATATGTATATATATAATTTATTATACTAGAAACATAAAAAAAATCAATAGTCTATTAAAATCTAGCTTACTAATATGAAAGTTGTGACAAATAAGGAAGGATAATTTATTCTATAAATCGGCTATCTTAATGAAAATGAATACATTAGATTCCTACCTTGCATTATATATGTCTTTAAAAGAAAGTATTTATGGGGATAGTGAAGGAATTTGTAAACCAGACAAAAAGCATTAAGTCACAGAGAAAAATATTGCTAAAGGTAACTAAACTCAAATTTTTTTGTTTTTGTTTTTGTTTTTGTTTTTCTCCAGTACCAGGAACCAAACTCAAGACCTTGTGCTTGCCAGGCAGGCGCTTTGCCGCTGAGCTAAATCCCCAGCCCCTTAAACTCAAATTTAAATCATGGTAAAAAGAAGCTATCAGGGGCTAGGGATTTAGCTCAGAGGCACAGTGCCTGCCTGACAAGCGTGAGGTCGTGAGTTCGAGTCCCAGTACCAGGGGGATAGAAAAAAGCTATCATAAACAAAAATATAAGTCAATCTAGAAAATATATGTAATCATAATCAACATCAACAAAAAATTATTAAGAAAAATACAAATAACCCAAAGAAAAATGGGCAGCTTATAAGCAAAGGAACCCAAAGAGCTAATCAACATAATCAAAAAGCCAAACTTACTAGTAAGCAGGAAAATACAAATTAAAACAATGGTGAAATAACTCAAAATTTTTAAATTGATAAAAATTAATGATACTGTATTAAAGAGTATGCTGGGCAACAAACTACACACTAGAAGTCTATGGATAACTGTTAATCCATGGAAGTTGATAAGGTTCAACTTCTAGGGAGAATATATGCATGTAATGCATGCCCACACATACCATTTGTAAGAGAGAGAAGAAAAACCTGGCTATCAAGTAACAGAATGAACAGAAGATAATGGCTTATTCTAGAACATGGAAATATGTAACATTACGATGCCAGTTACACATTTTATTAGTAGGATCTAAATCTGGTTACCTAAATATCACCTCTAAAATGGCTTTTTAAAGTGCTCACATGGTAAACATACCTATTTCATCTATAAAGATGATGGAAGGCTGTAACTTAATGGCAAGGGAGAAAACAGCAGCAGCCAACTTCTGAGATTCTCCATACCATTTATCAGTCAGTGTTGAAGGCTGAAGGTTAATAAATCGACAGCCAGCTTCTTTGGCTGTAGCCTTGGCAATCAATGTTTTACCACAGCCTGGAGGCCCATAGAGAAGAACACCTAGAAATCAATGTTAATTTATTAACACCTTTAAGAAAATGAGATGTTAAAAAAAAAACAACGAGATGTTTATGATAAAAATATTAATTCTGCCCACAATGAAACTTTCCCAATATGTAATTATTTACTGACTCTATTTATAGTAAAAAAGGTAGTAGCAAGAAAGTCACCATGTCCTAAACTGTCACTGAAGACATGTATTTAGAGATTAAAGCATCCTTGCACCTTCTCTGTCCAGTTCAGGATATTAAACACTACCATCCAAGTCCATACTACTCTGTCAATGACTGACAAGAAAAGTCATCTAATGCGTTCCACCTTCACAAGCTAAGAGAGCACTATGGCACCTTGATAATACCTTAAAGGTAATAAATAACTTCAAAATAGACAGTGGTAAACATCACTTTGCTGTTGTTTTAACTGAAAGGACATCTATTTTTTTCTAAATGGATAATAATCTTTTCTTAAAAGGAATATAGAAATTATTAGTCACTCTTGTTTTAATTTCCAAATTAATTTGTGTTACTAACCTATAGTCACCACTGACAGCAATTTACTGCTAAATACAACTTAGGGTAATACGTTCAACACATAAAAGATCTAAACAGGTTGAAGTCCTAAACATTTTCAAAATCACTTTCTCAGCTGAAATGAGTCACATTATCTAAAGTAATATAATAATAAAAATGTGAGCTTGTTTATAAATAATCTACTTAGTTCTGATGAAAACTGTAATCTGTAGACTTTTTTTTTCTTTTTAGCAGTACTGCTGGGCGCAGTGGTGCATACCTGTAATCCCAGCACTTGGGAGGCTGAGGAAGGAGGATCGTTGCGAGTTTGAGACCAGCCTGAGCTACAAAGTGAGCTCAAGGCCAGCCTGAACTGCATAGTGAGACCCTGCTCAAAAAAACAAAACAAAACAGCTAATGTATCTTTTTAGTAGTACTAGAGATTAAACTCATGGCCTTCACCATCCCCAGCCCTTTTTTATTTTGAGACAGGGTCTCATAAGTTGCCAAACTGTCCAGACTAGGCTCAAACTTGTGATCCCCCTGCCTGAAGCTCCGAGAATGCCAGGATTATAAGTGTGTGCCTCCAAGTCCAATTTGTAGATGTCTTAAAATACTTGCTTCATTCAAAGTTCAACTCTTCTCATGTCATAGTTCTTTTTTTTTTTTTTTTGTACTGGGAATCAAACTCAGGACCTTGTGCTTTCCAGGCAGGTGCATGTGCAGCTGACTATATCCCCAGCCCCTCCTGTCATAGTTCTTAAAGAATGACAGTATATAAAAATGGTATACTGAGGTCACTGAGGTATCTAAAATGTTCCTAATATATTAAAAATAAAATTCAAAATGAGAAAAATATTTTGTATAAAAGTCCCAATATAAAATTCTGTATTTTTAAAGTAAAAAACTCAAGCTTGTTTCTATAACATTACCAAACTTATTTTTTGTTATCAGGCATTTCAAAATAATGTCCAAACTTGTATTCATGTGTACATAATTTTCCTACCAGTGTTAATTGTTTAAGATTCAAGTTACAACATCAACTAACTGAATTTTAAACTAAACTTTTCTAAAGCTGATTTTTTTTCAATACTTGTCATCCTCTTGCCTCAGCCTCCCAGGGTGCTGAGATTACAAGCATGACCACTATATCTGTCTCTAAAGCTGGTTTTAAATTTCAAGCCATAAGCTTTGCCAGTACACATTAATATTTTCAAGTGGTCTTCCATTTTTAATTAAGTCCAGTCAGGTGCTAAACATTTACTTAAATCTGTTATAATCTGAACCTTCTAGTAACACTTTTTGTTTGGATGAACATACAAAACAAACAAGAGTAATAATCTAATGTCATTTCATTTAAAGCTGGAAACACATGGTTGACTGCAGGTACTTAGAATTATTATTTCACTACTGTGAACTCACAATTTAATGTAGAATGTATGCTGCCAAGGAATAAATATATATATTTATATATTTGTATCAAATTTAAAACTTTTCTCTCTGTAAATAATCATGTATGCACTATCTGAATTTCTTCTAACAAGCTTTAAAAATGATTAATGTCTGCATAAACAAGAATAAAAGGGGGGCTGAGGATTTAGCTCAGAGGCACAGCACCTGCCTGGCAAGTGTGAGGTTGTGAGTTTGATCCCCGGTACCAGAAAAAAAAAAAAGAGAATAAAAGGATTACATTTAGAAATGCAAACATAAAAACACCTCAACTCTTAAGTTCTAAGGTTTTCAAAGTATGACTAATTACAAATAAGGAAGTTTCAAACAAATAGTAGCACTTAGCAGGGTTGGTAGCACTGTAATATGCCTGTAATCACAGCCCTCTGGGAGGCTAAAACAAAGGATTACAAATTCAAGCCTAGCCTGGATAATTTAGCAACTTGGCAGAGACCCTCCCTCAAAATAAAAAATAAAAGGGTCTGGGAATATAGCTCAGTGCAAAGGCTCTAGATTCAACCCCAAAACCACCCCCTAAAAGGAGTGTGATCATTTCCAGTTCATGTGCAGTTCAGTATTTCCTAAAAGATTCGCTGTGAGCTGGGCATGGTGGTGCATGTTTGTAATCCCAGAACTAGGGAGGGTAAGGCAAGAGAATGAAGAGTTCAATGCCTGCCCGAGCTACACAGTATGACCATCTCCAAACCCCTCATCCACCAAGAAAGAATCACTACAGTCTGAAAGTAGATCACTAGAAGAAAAAAAAAAAACACTAGAATTGTGAAACAACAAAAAGATAGCCTGGGGGAAGAATATATTGTGACTTTGGATTTTTTTTAAATCTTAATTTCCTAAATTTTAATTTACTTATAAGTAATAAAATGGGGCTCTAACTAGAGATTATTTTGACATGTAACTGCAGGAAAAAGAATTTACCTAAATTTCAGAAGCAGAACAATGAACAATTATTTTAAAAATAATATTTATAAAATAATTCACTTGATCTAAGCATTCTCTTAGAATCTGATTTCATTAAAAATCAGTTATATAATAGTTAAAGGTTTTCATGTTTACAAGACTTATGTTTCAGGTAAGTATGTACATATTATACATACCTTTAGGGGGCTGCAGAAGCCTAGAATTCTCAAACAAATGCTTCTTCTTGATAGGTAAGATGACTGTATCTTTCAGATCTGTAATAACATCATCTAAACCTGCTATATCACTCCAAGTAACCTGGCAAAAAATAAGAGCAACAGAAACTTTACAAGTAATGTACACTCACAAAAGCAAAAGTATATTCCCACTCCCAACGGGAAACCACTATATAATCTGGTAATTACACATAAATAATAGAAGGTTAAAATTATTTGTTAACATGAATAAAAACTTTTCATGATAACAATAAAAAGGCTTATTAAGGTTTATATCCATCAAACTGGACTACTTTTATTTATCTAAAATAAAACTGTAAAAATTTAGGGGGCATCTTTTTAAGTAGTAAGTAGGGTATACATTTTCAAAAAAGACGAAAGGCCAGGCATGCTGACACACACCTATAAGTCTAGCTACTCAGGAGGCTAAAGCAAGTTCAAGGCCAACCTGAGCAACTTAGCAAGACCCTAACCCCCCCCACCACCAAAAAAAAGTACTGGGTTCTATCCTAGTAAGGGGGATGGGGACACAGACAAGGAAAATCTTAATCAACTTAAAAAAAAAAATTAGGGGTGAGGGCTAAAACTAAAAGAGACTTAAAAAGAAAAATTAATCTCCCTCTAGTCTAGTAAAGTGGCCAGTAAGATGCACTACTTTAGAGCAGATTTACTTTCTTTATAATTCACAGTGAAAAAAAGAGGGAAAATACAAACCAGTGGCCAGATCTGAAGAAAAATCATAACATTTACTTTAGCTGCAACAAAATGCTGTAATAGTACAGACTTACTCTGTTAGGGCCTGGTGCCATTGTAAATTCATAAATCCAACTGAATTGGAAGTTTAATTCCAGGGTGTGTGTCTCTGATCTACTATATACTGTATATTACAGGACAGTATAGATTTTTATTTTCTAGACTTAAAGACAGGGTTATTACATTTAATTCCACTTATTAATATATCAATGTAACATTGTATTAGAAAACTATATTCTAATATATCTATTGCTATAAAATACTCATAGAATACCTTGGATTTATCAATTAATCTGATCCTTAGCCAGGCCTGATGGTACATGCCTGTGAGCCCAGCACTTCAGGAGGTTGCAGCACCAGAATATCAAGTTCAAGCACAGCCTGGGTATTTAGTGAGGCCCTGTCTCAAAATTATAAAAGGGCTGGGGATGTAGTTCAGAGCAAGGTCCGGGGTTCAACACCCAGTACCACTAAAATATCTAATCCTCAAAAATTCATTGTATTATCTGGATTATACTTGTGGGAACTAAGACTTAAAGAAGAAATCATTTACCAAGGCCACAAGTAGAAAACTTGAGATTCAGGATTATGTGTTGTCTACAATAACATATGAAAATCTAAACTCCACAAATCAAATACCTACATAACATAAACCAATTTTCTGTTTCATAAAGGCAAATACATAAAAGTCCAAGTTTCACCAAGCAATGTGTGCAACACAGCAGGTCTGGGATAATTATACTTAGAAAGGCCTGCTTGCAAGTTGGCTCTCAGCTAGGACTTGGGATATTAGATTTTGGGAGAGTTCTCACAACTCCCTGACAAGAACAGCTCACTGTGCCTAAACTGCACCAACAATACGGTTTAAGGTCAATGTCTCTTTTCCTTCTGGGAGTCCAGACTTTTGATATACCTAAGGAAGAAGTTTACATGACTGGCTCCAAATGAAATCCCTGAAGAGTCTTGAGTAAATTTTCTTGGTTGACAACACTGCACATGTGTTGTCACAACTTGTTGATGCAGTAATTAAGCATCTGTGTGACCCCATAGAGCCACAATTCTTAGAAGATGGGCCTGATTTTCTCCAGACTTAACCTCATTCCCTTTTCCCTTTCCTGATTGTGCCTTGTATCAACTCAGTGTAATAAATCACATCCGGGAGTACAACTACGTACTCATATGCTGAGTTTTATGATTCCTCCTTGAGTATCACTGAAACAGTCTAGTCTTCCAGACCTTTGACACGAAATGGCAGACGCCCACAATCATGAGATTAGATGTACCTACGTGCATGTTAAGAGGATCTACCAGGTGAGCAGCGATACTCATTTCATACTCTGACAGCTTCACATTTTTCACACCAATTTGCTTCATTAGTTTTTCTGCCTAGAAAGAAAAAAGCACCCTTTATTTTGATACTTAGATGCTGGTGCCTCAAAACTGAAGTCTAATGAGCACTGAACAGACATTAAAGAATTTTCCAAGGATATTTAATGCCTATTGGTCTTATCCTTTTTTATTGTGAACCCATCAGTAAAGAAAAAATTTGAAACTCCACCCTACAGAAACCAGAGCAATTTAACCAGCTTCTGGGAAATGAGACAACAGGATACGTGATTAGAGAGATACATGATCTGTACCTCTCAATACAGTAGCTCTGAGGAGACACTAAGGTACATTTTGTTTTCTCTTTCCAGAAAGATTATCACAACTACAGGTGAAACCTCAAGATGAAAATCCAAAGAGTCAAGGATGTCAAGAAATGTACAACTGGAGTTTCTTTCCCTAAATTAACAGGGTATCTGAAAAAGATTTTAAACTTCCTGCAATGATACACACTTGATTTCAATTTTTTTGACGTTATCTTTTTCAGTTAAAGTCAAAAGCAACTGAAAATAATAAAAATAAACCATATATTCTTAAAGTAGGTATATCTAACTTCAAATCTATGAGTTCAAGCAATGCAAACAGCTTTTAATTAAAATAAAAATGACAAACACTTTCTGAGTGTGCCAAGATTAAGCTAAAACACAGTAAGCGTATGAACTCACTGGATTCTCAGAGTGGTCCTATGTACAGAGGTATAATATTCCCCTTTTTGCGGAAAAATAAACAGAAGCTTAACATAATTAAGTAATTTGCCTTAGATGAAAAGCAAGCAAATAGAAGAGGCAAGGTCTGAATCTCCACCGTCCAACTCTGGAGCCAATACTCTAACCACCACGTATACCTGGCTTGGTTTCTCCATATAAGGGGGTTTGTGACCACTTAAGTCTTCAAAAATCTACATATAACATATTCAAAGTTCAAGTAAATGAACGTTTTAGAAATGAAGGTACTTTGGTAAATCATTCAATTATGATTACGTGTGATAAAACATTCAAAAAAGTTCAATTATTTTTGTTGTTTTATTTTCTTAAAATGTTTTTGATTACATAAGATCTTGCTGTTTGTTAAGGATATGGTTCCTCTAAAAGGAAATTCGTACCAAAGAACATGTATTTATAGACTAGCAAGGAGATTAGAAGAACTGTGTGCTGATCATATCCTAACAGCTTTTTTTTTTAAAAAAGTGTTATGAACCATATCAAATAATCACACAGGACGTATTTCCTACTAAACCACCTCTGCAAATCTCCAAGATATAAAGGAGCCCTATTCAGGTTTCTAGGTTGCCCTCTCTTAAAAATACCTTCTTTCTCACTGCCTATAAGCTCTTATGTGCCAACTGTGGAAAGTATCCTTTTTTTGGCATGTTAAGGACATTAATTTATTCTTTTTATTATGCTACTAATGTGAAGCCATCCTATATGTGTTCTTTTTAGACAATACTCTTAAAATAGTGGATTTCAACTGGGGATGGTTTGCCTCTTCCTGTGTCCCCCAGGGGACACTTGACAGTGCCTGGAAGTATTTCTGGTTGCCAGATTTGGGGACAAAGGAAGACTGCTATGAGGGTCTAGGCAAGTGAGGCAGGGATGCTGCCAATCTTTCTATGAACATAGGAAAGCCCTCCTCCTCACAGCCCAAGGACCTACCAAGCCTAAAAAAGCAACAGTGCCTGAGCTGAGAGACCCTGCCTTTTCCTTACTAGCTAGTTACCTTGAAAATATTATTTCACAGATATCTCTTGTTTTAAACAAGGGTTTTTTATAGCTGAAATTTCTTAAATAATCAACTATCTTGTTTATACAAACAGGAAATGCTGTACTATGTCATTTACCTAGCGTCTCCTTTCTGCAACAGCATCCTATTTTAACAGTGGATTTAGGTTGTGTTCGTAATATAACACTGACATAAAATGGAAAAGAAGTTAACATTTACTGTGTTCCTATCTAATGGCTGACACTCATTTGTCTAATTTGAAAGGCCTGGCCTCCTGAAGCACTAACGTTCCTCATTTGATAGAACAGAAAACAATTAACAAATAAATGAAAAACAAAGTACCAAAAAGCACATTATAACGACCTCCAAACTATGTCCCTGGAGTAAGTTATCCAATTATCTGGTTTTGACTTTTAAGTAAGCCTCTAATTCTAAAATACTTTAACTAGAAAAATAAAAATATGACTAGACTGCTCTAAAAATGGTTTATCTTTATACACTGCTTTATTTATAGTTTAATGAAAATTGTATTTTCTAATCAACAATGCTTGCTTATTTCTTAAAGTGGGTCTCTCCAAGTTGTTCTCTTTGTGGAGAAAATATGGTAGACAGGAAATGTATATAGGGGAGGGATAAAAGAAAGGGAAATTACTTTTAACTGTATATTATCTGTTTCATGTTATGTTTTATCCTTTCAATTATTTCATTATCCTTTCATGCCATTTCATTTTAAGAAGTTGAGTAGGATGTAAACAGTAAGTTGTTTTTTTGTTTTTGGTACCAGAATCAAACTCAGGACCTTGCGCTTGCCAGGCAGGCGCTTATGACATTCAGTTTTATCCCCGACCCAGTAAATAGTACTATTGCCTGGAGTGGGGAAGAGGAATTACAGAGGAAAAGCAACAGGAAAGGAAATATTAAGTAGTAACACTCATTTCATTCAAGGTTCATAAGATTAACTGTCCTTTGAAAGAGTAATTTTAGAAAGATACACATAGCATTAACAAGGGTAAAAAAAAAAAAAAAAGAATTGAATCAATTAAACATTAAGTCAGAAACAAGGAAAACCTCTGATCCTTTGACGGATGTCATACCAGTTGATCATAGCTCCAATTTCAGTGTAGGTAGAGGAAACCATTGATGCAAATTTTAGAAATGCATTTAAAAGCAATTAGCAATGATTCTGAATAATTATCTTTACACATTAGGTATAACCCTTATGAAAACTTATATTAACTCTGAAACACATGTGGAGACAGCAACCTTCTCTTTTAGGGTTAGTGTACTTCATCTCTTCCCTCTGGTATTGCCATGTTTCTAATATTACCATCCTTCTGGAAGTTACTGGATAAGATGCCTTCTTACCATGGTGCTCTCCCACCATGCTTCATACTACACTACTCTAGTTTGCTTTCTTATCACTCTACCTATCCTCTTGCTCAGCCAGATAATCTAACTTAACTGCTTATTCTTTCCTGATACCCTAATTCAATTATTTACTTAGTTCAATTGTTCACTCACTCTTCTAAGATTCAGTTCAATAAGCTAACTGATTGGTAATGCACAGCATAATGACTTTCTAGGTTAACAAATGTTAGTTTTTTCAAACTGGCATTCTGTGATGGTTGCTTCAAGATCCAAGCTGCTGCTCTTTTTCTCTTGTCAATCTGTCTTTTGCTATAGAGCTCTAACTGAGAATTCAAAAGTGTACAGGAAAAAGTATTTTTCCTTCTCAATATATGCATATATCAACATTTATCCAAATATTTAGACTGATTCCCTTTTTTCCATTATAAGCAAGGCTGCTAAGAAGTCTTTTATGTAACTCCTGGTTCTTTCAATTATGCATGGAAATAAAACTTATGGGTCATTTAGAATGCACATTTTCAACTTTAGTAGATAATGCCAGACTGTCTTCCAAAATGATTATAATTTATATTCTTATCAGCAATATCTACGCTATTCTTCCAGTCTCTCTAGTAAATTGTATTAAAAGACTAGTACTTTTGTCATTTTGCTAAGTGTGAAAAGCTAACACAAAGGGGCTAGGGATTTAGCTCAGTGGCACAGCACCTGCCTGGCAAGCGTAAGGTCATGAGTTCAATTCCTGGTACCAGAAGAAAAACACACGAACAAAAAAAAAAAAAAAAGAAAGAAAAGAAAAGAAAACTCAAAGTGATTTTTAATTTGCATTTGGCCAATGAAATGTGCATGTTATACAAACATAAAAAGAAAGCTAACGGTACAAAAAGAAACTTCAATGCAAAGATATTAGAGAAAATGAGGTTTACTACATAATTGAAAGTCAACTGACATGTAGATGTAACACTTCTATATTTTTTACATTCCATCTTTCTGGGTCTAAATTTTAGATGTGTCACTTCACCTAGCATATGACTTAAATTTATCTCACTAAATTATTTTTACATCTTTGACTTTGGCTGAAATACTACATGGGACTTTTTGTGGTCCTGGATTTATAAGGGTGTCATCGGTGAGACTCCTTAACTTGGACTGGCTTTACATATTGCACAGAGCCATGAAAATACCCACTCAAAACTCAGTAGGTTCAGCAAATTCCTGCCAGTGGAAAGCTAGTCATAAGTTCAGCTTACCTTTTTGAGTTTTTGCCTTAAGTTTTTTAACCTAAATTCCTTACTTTCTTTATACCTCATGAATACCTTTAAAACAATTTTTTTAAGTCATCCAGCTTATTTCATTGTTTTTGTTTTACATAGGAAAGTCAGTCCAGGTACTAGTTATCCCAACTGATCTGTTCATTCCTCATTGGCTTCCTATCACCTTCCCATTCCCTAAATGACAGAAGTGTGTCCACTCTGCAGCCTACTATTATTGTTGCTTTATAACATCTGTGAGGCTCTCATCACTCTCAATCCAGTCATTGAAATGTATTACAGTGACAATTACATCAGAAGCTCTCATAAGTGTTTAATGTATAAATCTGGATGGTAGCAGCAGGAAGATGGGGAAATGGGGTGGGAAAAGCTTCACGAATCATACACACATACATAACAAAAGCCTTTTTACCTACCCATTTCCGTTAAGAATCATGTCTCTGATGTTTCCAACTACTTATGGACATCTGATAATGAAAAATAATTCTAGGACTGACCTTATTGATGAGACTCAGACCTACAAGTTCAATTATTGTATGAATACTTCTCTCTGAATTCCAACCACAATACAAACCTAACATGTACATATTAAATGCCATCATCCTATAAACTTGCCGTATCAATTTCTAAATCATTATAAAAGATATTATGAATCTTTGAGGAATCTACACAAATCTTTGATTCATTTATATAATATTCTTTTTCTTTTCCCACATCATCCTACATTCCTGCATTCATTCTTTTGAGTCAATTTCACCTATTACATTCCTTTTGTTATTCTCTTATTCTACTCTTTGCCCGACCATTGCTTCTCATCTCTCTTGACCGCATTTCCTCTTGTATAACTATTGTAAGGTAAATTATCTGAACATTGTTTTCTGTATTACCCACCTTCTCAAACATATTTAATGGCTTACCACTGCCTATATAGAACTCTTTAACTGGTCAACAGCATACTCAGTAGTTGGCCAGGAGTATAGGAAGGAAGGAAGGGAGGGAATGCAGAGAACCTATAACCCTTGGCTAAGGTTAGGGTTATAGGTTCTCTGCATTTTTAGATGATTTTTTTTTCATTCTGGATGTTTTAAACATTAGTAAGTTATTATGAAAATGGACCACAAATTTATTTTTAAAAATAAAAAGCACATCTCCTTTGCAGTTGATTTGGACTTCAAAAATGCTATAGTATTTTGCATCAGACTTAGTCTACCTACTAAAAAATTAAAGGCACTGAAGAAAGGAACAGTAGAGCTCTGTCCCCTGACTTATTCAGGAGCCTTTATCTTGTAGTCCTTATCTTTCCCTTTGGGTTCTACGACATAGGCACTTACATAAACTCTGCTCTCTAACCTGATTAAACTATTTACTATTCTTTTAGTAGGTCTTGTTATCCCTACCTTATGATTCTTTTTTTTTCCTTTGGTCTTTTTTTGAGACAAGGTCTCACTATGCAGTTCAGGCTGGTCTTGAGCTCACTTTGTAGCCCAGGCTGGCCTCAAATTTGCAATGATCCGCCTGCCTCAGCCTCCTGAGTGCTGGGATTACAGGTGTGCCACTACACCCAGTTTACCTTATGATTTTGTTCATACTCTTTCTACTTAGCATTGTCCTTGTCTATCTTTGAACCCAAAATCTTTCATGAAGACATACTTAACCATCTCAATCACTGGTAACCACTTATTTCTCTAAAAGTCATGGTTTGTCACTAAATAACTGGTATATGTTAATTACTCCTATAATCTATATCATAAATATGTCTTGCCCTTTTCCCTACCTTGGACATCACAAGGTCAGACACAGTACTTCACACATTACACATCTGCTATTTAGGACAATGCTATACATAGAGTTTTCAATAAAAGCTTAATGATAATGATTTATTTGTGTAGCACTTAATATCTATATTTGGCTTTCGATATGTCTTCTACATATGTACTCCAACAGATCCTAGAAGCCAAAAAAAACCCTGATAAAAATCTCTGTTTAAAAGTTATGCCCCTGCCAGGCGTGGTGGCACACGCCTGTAATCCCAGCACTTAGGAGGTTGAGGAGGGAGGATCACTGTTGAGTTCAAGGCCAGCCTGGGCTACACAGTAAGATCAAGGCCAGCCTGAACTGTACAGCTAGATCTTGCCTCAAAAAAACAATCTGAACAACTAATTTGAAGACAATATGCAATATAACCATTGTTAAATTCCTACCATCTTGATTAGTGAAACTCTGTATTATTTCTAATGTTTTTTTGAACTTTTTATCTTTAATTGTTTTATCAATCTTGCATTCTTACATCTTATAATCTGAGCAACTTCATTGAAGATAGTATGTAATATAACAACCATTGTTAGTTTCCTATCATCTTTTGAAATTCTGTATCATTTTTATTGTTTTAGTGTTTTGTTTTTATCTTTGTTGTTGTTCTTTTGTTTTCTTTTCTCTTTAAAATAAAGAGAAAAGGTGGTGCATGCCTGTAGTCCCAGCACTCAAGGGAGGCTGAGGCAGGAGGATCATTGCAAGTTCAAGGCCAGCCTGGGCTACAAAGTGAGCTCAAGGTCAGCCTGAACTGCACAGCGAAACCCTGTCTCAAAAAGACAAAAAAAAAAACAAAACCACTTAATAAATAAATAAATAACAACAATAAAGTCATACTCCTACTAACAACAATATCCTAAACTGCAATTTAAACTGACTTTCTGGATTCAGGTGGGGAAAAAAGGTATATTCAGGTACATTATCAAATGAGTTTTTTAAATAACCTCTACTGGTCAGACTTCCCAGTGTTATGAATAGGCTGATGACACAATCAATTTTTAGTCAACTATTTCATGGACAAATTCAAGGAATAAATTCATCAAAGTTCAAATTACTTTTTGGATGCTTACTACAGAAACTGTGGTTTTTCACTTTTTAACTAACTTGACAGCTATGCGTAACACTGTAAAGAAATCATTTATTTACCTTCCTATTTCCCATACTTTTCTATAGCAGTTTGAAAAAACAAGATTTTTTTTTTTTTTTTTGGGGGGGGTTTTTTGAGACAGGGTCTTGCTATATAGTACAGCAGGCTGGCCTTGAACTTACTTATGTAGCCCAGGGTGACCTTAAACACAACGATTCTCCTGTCTAGGCATCCCAAGTACCACCATGCCAGCAAAACAAGAGTTATTTAACCTTTTATCTTAGCATCAAGCATAAATGCTCGTTGAATGAATCAGTCACAACTCACAGAACACATCTAAAATCCATGAATATGAACATCTTGTCCTCAAATGGCAAAAAAATGGTGACTCTTTCAAACCTTTTAATTTTTGAGGATGTACAGACCCCAAACAAATATGTTATCATAATAAAGACATGACCATATGAGGTAGCAGCTGAAAAATAAAAAATATAACACAGTAATAAACAATAACTTTCTAAAGCAATTCCTTAGATTTTAGTGTAGTTTGTAAAGTCTAAGACTGACAACTTAGCATTATCCAAATTTCAAATATCAGACAAACCAAAATGCAGACGCTATTAAAATATTAAAATATTATTTTTGTGTAGTGTACTGAAAAGTTTTACCTAGCTTCCTTCATTTATAAGCTGAAAAAATATTCTAATGAGAATAGTCACAAAATTATTTGTATTCATCATTTTTCTCCTGAAATTGCTTATACAGTAAAAACTGACTTAATAAGCTAATGTTTTCTAGAAAAAATGAAGTAAATAATGTGTCACAATGCATTTTCATGTGAGTTTTATAGAATTCATAAATTCATAATTTTACTACTCTTAATTTAGGGGAAATATATTCACTAGTGGTAAGAGAAAGGATCTTCAAACATTTCAAATCATACCTGTTTCTGAGCTTCTACTTTCTGCTTTCTGGTTGGATCAATTGCATCTACCATCCATTTGATAGTAAAGTATGTTACTGCACCAAATATTGTCAAACGGAAAATTAAACCAACAACTTCATTCCGACTTAAGGGCCGAGAAAAGGCTTCAGCATGTACCATCTTGATTGTTAACCTTCAAAAACAAGAGAAATTGTCATTATGTAATATCTATGTCCATTAAAATTACCTTGAACTAAGCAAGAAAAACTAACTTCTAGTTAAACTCAAGCATTACCTACCTTTAAAAAATGTGTTTCAAGGACAAACGGATTTTTAAATGTTAAGTAAGCAAATGCATTTAATAGTGGAATAAATAATTCCTTTTTTTTTTTGGTACCGGAAATTGAACTCAGAACCTCGCACTTTTCAGGCAGGAGCTGTGTCACTGAGCTACATCCCCAGCCCTAAATAATTCATTTTGAAAATACAGTTTTCAAATTACTCTTTTAGCTTTTAAGTAACTATTTCAGAGTCTGGGAAAATAACAACATTAAAACCAATCCAACTAAAGAAAGGCACCTTAACAATGAGATATTTTACTAATCTGATCATAAAGATTTCTTCTATTAAATGTAACATACAAAATAACTTGAGAATGAATTCAAACTATGAACTGACTTTTTCTTCATCCTCATTTTAAAGTTCAAAGGCCTGCTTAAATGTAAACATGTTATTATCTCAGTTAAAAAGTGATATTAATTTTTGAGCCATTCTATTACTCTCAACAACCCAACCGAATATAAAGCAACACTTTCAAAAATTGTGAGCCATAAACTCAAGGCTTTTACAGGTAAACGGTCACAACTAGAGACCATACTCATAAGTGAAATAAACCAGACCTCCAAGTGTAAGCAATGTATTGTCTCACTAGTGTAAGAACCTGAAAGAATGAATAAAAATTGGAGACATGACAGACATTGTGAAACGAAAGGAAAATGCTCAAAAGTAAAGAGCAACTGGGGTGAGGGAAAAGAGAAAAGAAAGAAGGGGAAATTATGTATGTATGTATATACAGGATAGCTAACATAGTTGTACTACTGACTTCTATCACTTTACTGAAAGGAACAGTTAATGATTACTTATTTGATCAATCTTGCATGTCTCTATTTGTTTTCCTGAGAAACCACTTTGAAAATATCAATAAGTAATACAACAGCCATTGTTAATTCCCTACCACTTTGTCTGTAACTCTGTATTGCTTGTATTGTTCTTATGCTATTTTGTAAATGGATGTCTGTTTGTTAATGTTTTCCTTCTTTTATTTTTAAAATAAATTTTTTAAAAAATTGTGAGCCACCAAGAAAACTACCACAAAAATAAAACACTCACCCAAGAACAGAGGAAAAAAGATGATGTACACACAGTATATCCCTAAGCTAAACTTACAGCAGGCCTAGACTCCACTGTCAAAGGCATTAAGTGCACAAAAGAATAAGCTTGTTAGAGATATGACTACTACATTTTGGAAAATAGAATCTCAACTTCCAACAATGCCATTAAATTCTCGGAACAAAGTTTTTCTAAGTGCTGCTGGATATTTAAGAAAAAAAAAAAAAGAACCAGGCAGCTGAAGCAGGAGGGTTGAAAGTTCCAGCCCTGCCTGGTCAACTTAGTAACTTGGTGAAGGCTGTGCCAAAATAAAAATAAATAAATAATACAAAGGCTGGGGATGTAGCTCACTGTGAAGGTCCTAGACACAATCCCCAGGGGTTGGGGATTTAGCTCAGCAGCACAGCGCCTGCCTGGCAAGCGCAAGGTTGTGAGTTCGATTCCTGATACCGGAAGAAAAACAAAAACAACACTGACACAATCCCCAGAATGCAATTAAAGTAAGATGAAATACATACCTGACCCATGTGAAAAGGAATAAAACAGAATTTGTAGCTATTTCAATGACAGCTAAAAATGAGGTAACGCATGGATTAATATCTATAATGCTTCCAGCACTAAAATTGTTTTCTCTTCTCAGTACCACTAAGTTAAAGATTCACTTCATCTCCCTCCCTTCAGAATAGCTCCAACAATATTTAAATTCTTATAGATCTCTTCTTCCTTCAAGAGTATATATTCTTTCCTAGTCAAAAGGGCTCCCTTTACAGGATTCTCCAGTATTCAAGACTGTACTAATCATGCTCCCAAAAGTCACTTTTCAGCACTCTCTCATCACTTCTCAGAGGGAACACTCAACAGGTGCAGTCACTGGCATCTGAAAATGCCACACAGATTTGTTTTTCCTTCAACCTTGTCCTTGCCCTTGCCTACATGGGCCATTTCCCCTCATTCACTTCAGGTTAGTCAAATGCTATACAAATTTCAAAGCCCAACAATCTGTTCCATGAAGCCTTTCAGATCACATTAATCCTCTATCAGTCATTTAGTTCTACTAAATATCTCAAGAAATCTTATTTTTAATCATGAGTGAATATACATTCTATTCACCTATCCATTAGTATAATTATCACACACAAAATACAGACTATTCTAAAATTATAGTCAAGGGATAAACTGCCACTTGAAAAATCTTCCATTTCAACCATTCCCAAACCTGGCGTGATAGCACACATCTGTAATCCCAGCACTTGGGAGGCTGAGGCAGGAGGATCACTGTGAGTTCGACACCAGCCTGGGCTACAAAGTGAGCTCAAGGAACTGCATAGCGAGACCCTGTCTCAAAAGAGACCAAAAACAAAACAAAAAGCCAAGATTCCCTGCTTCTCTATTAGTAGGAGCCACTCATTTCACCATAAGTACATTATTTAATCATAACAATTAAATAAGAAAGACTGTATTTTGGCACTCCTGTAATCGTGACAGGAAGACAGGTTGATGCCAGCCTACACCTGGATTACACTATAAGACCCTGGGGGGAAAAAAGGAAAGAAAATTTTGGCCTAGGGATTTAAAGTAATGTAATTTCTTCCATAAACACTCACTGAACATTTATGTAATACCTACTATATACTACATGTACAATAATAGCTAAGACACATGATAAAGATACTTGTGCAGTTGTATTAGCTATAAAGAAAAGAACACAGTTGAAAGAAGTCATCTAACTAAAATCTCTCTTTATGTAACCAAGTGTGCTTTCTCCCACCAGCACTGATTCCAAAAAAAAGGGTTACAGGACACTACTCACAGTAAGTGAAAATGTCACTTTAGTCTTTATTCCAACAGAGTAAAGTTAAAAATGCCATTGCATTTTTGTGTGATACCATTACGTGGGGTACTACTCGGTAGGTGAAAATAAATCAGTTAAGGTAAGGATCAGCTAAATCTGTGAGTAGTAGTGACATTCCAAATATCGGTTTCATTTGGTTAAAGCCGGTAGCACAGTATTGGTGCACATAAAACTGCCATCTACTGGATGTTCACTAAACTACACGAACAAATTAGTGCTGCTATCAAAATACATCCCAAAGTCATCAGGATAGTCAACCATTTTTAATCCTATAAAAAATGTTGACACAAAATTCGCTTATGTAGTTCCCCTTCTTAAATTAACTTTACTATGATACAGATTTAGGACTATTAATGTCGCTTTTTTTTCTTTCTCCTGGAGACAGAGTCTCCCTATGGAGTCCATCCTGAGCTCAAACTTAAGATCTACCTGTCTCGGGGGCTGGAGATTTAGCTCAGCGGCACAGTGCCTGCCTGGCAAGCGCAAGGTCGTGAGTTTGATTCCCAGTACCGGAAAAAACAAAACAAAAAAAATCTACCTGTCTCAGTCTCTCCTGAGTGCTGGGTTTACAGCAGCTGTATGGAACCACCCAGGCTTACAGTCACTTCTAAAACAATAGCCCATTACTTTAAAAGTCTTCAAAATCCTGAAACGAAGCCGGGTGTGGTGGAGCACACCTATAATCTCAGCACTTGGAAGGCTGAAGCAGGAGGATCGTTGCAAGTTCGACGCCAGCCTGGGTTACAAAGTGAGCTCAAAGCCAGCCTGAACTGCAGAGCGAGACCCTGCCTCAAAAAAAAAAAAAAAATCTGAAACGAAACTGAAACTTCTTGCTTTGTAGGCTAACTATAAATGCCGTCTACACTATCTGTGAGATCTACACTTACCATTTCTACAGCACTGATATACCTGCAATGTAAAGCCGTTTCAGTTATATGACAGAATATACAAAAGCTGCAAGTGCACACGAGAACGTATGTATTTCAATCTTGTGTTAAACACTCGCTTCAGAAAATGAAGACATAAATATGTACATATAGTGCTGTGCATCATTAAATATCGCTGCTAAACTCAGTTATCGGTTGGGCAAACATGAACACCAGGTAGTTGCATTCTAAGGAACTCTCCATCTCGCGGTGCAAATCAGTGAAATCGCATCACTTCAACTAACGAGCCACTTACTGACAGATTACGAGGGCGAACAGCACACGCACTGTAGCGACTCCTAAATCAGGGCGGTGTTTTACAAAGCGCCTCTCCCGCTCTGAGTCCCGGGATAGCGGACATCAAGGCCCCAGGAACACTGCCCGTGACGGTGAGGGCCTGCCAACCTTCACGCAGGGGACAAGGTTACCACTAACATCTCCATCCTCTGAGAAAGCGGCCCAGCCACGAAGAAACCGCCTCTGCTTTTGCACCAGGTGCTGCACGGCCGCTCCGGGACCACAGTCACAGCCGGCTTCTTCCGGCCGCCTTCACCAGGACCCTGGTCCCGGGTGCCCGGAACGACCCCGGGCCTCCACAGTGACCAGGCTGCTGCGGAATGTCCCTCGGGACTGGCACAAGGCGTGGGGGCAGCGCCAAGCCGGACCTCAGCGCCCAGGCCGGGCCGGAAGCCAGAGCGAGGGCCAGAACGCCCTTGGAGGTTAATCCGCCCGCCGCGGCGCACGCGGGGCGCCGGGGGGCGGCACTGAGGCGGGGCGTGGGAGGTGGGCGAGGTGACCCTTCTCGCTGGGCTTCCCGGGTCGGAGCCGGTCGCTAAGGGAGCTCACAGGAACCCTGCAAGCGCCCGGCCAGGTCTCGCAGGAACCCGCTACTCACCCCGGGACCGAAACAGCGGCAGCTGCAACCCGCACCAGCCTCACACAGGAAGAAAATGCCGGCGGGGACAGATCGCTTCCGGCTCAAGTGGCGCCCCCGCCACACTCACGCATCGCGCATGCGCAGACGCGGCGGTAGCCCTGGCTCCGGCGTGTTCCGAGCCTGGGAAACGGCCCCTGGGAAGCGACAGCGTGCGCGTCCGCGTCCGCACGTCTGTTACTTTGTCTGCTACCCGCCCGGCTGCGGCTTTCGCCCCGCCCCCGCAAGCGGCGCTCGTTGAGGCTCTGCGTTTAGCCGCTGAATCTCAGAGGCCGAATTGGGAAAGGTCTCTTAAAGTCCCAGCCCTCCCTGCTGGCCGGGCGCAACCCCAACGAATAGGGGCGCCAACAGGAGAGTGCAAAGGAATTCTTCCCTGGCGCTGGTTTGATTCTGACTCTTCCCCCAACACCCCATGCAAATCTTCACGCTGATTCTGTCTGTACTTCAGTCAAAGCGCAGACGCGCCTGGCCACCCCTCACCATCTGCCTTTCAGTTTCTAGGGTTAGCTCAGCCTCCTCCCCATCGCCGTGATGAGGACGACGCCTGAAAAACCTTCAGCGAAAGACGGAGCAGCCCACGCAGGGAGGCTGGCAGCTGGAACGGAACAGAGCACCTGGTAGCAGGTTTTGCATTTTGGTGACTTCACTTTTGCTTTTACGTCTTCTTTCCAGAATGAGGGACAAGGGCGTGAGAAGGCCCAAGGGAGCACACCCAAAAGCCAGCGCCTTCTGAATACGCAGACCGCCAGGAGCTGAGGTGACGTTAGACAGTCCCCAGATAAAAGAAGCATCACTTCCTTCAAATTGAGGTGTTGAGACCGAAGTAATGAGACCGTTCCCCTCCGTATCTGCTGTCTGGTATAAGGACCCATCTTTCATGGCTAAAGAGCTCTGCAGCCTGATTGTTGAGTTGTTGGATTAGCAAATTCTACTTTTGTTACAATCCCTGTCCACACACCCGGTACAGACGATTAAACTCGAGGCCTTCGTACTGAGCTGCATTGTCAGCCCTCTCCTCCATGTTAAACTTTTAAAATTTTAAGACAAGGTCTTGCTAAGTTGCCCAGGCGGGGCTGGAAATTGGGATCCTCCTCCCTCAGCTTCCCGAGTGCTGGGATTATTACAGGCGTGTGCCACTATGCGCAGCTATGTGTCTGCATGCTTAATTTAATTTTTTAAATTTAATTCAAAGCTAGGTTTAGGAGTACTAGACTGATTAGAGAGAAAGACTGATTTGACAAGAACAGGAGGATTATTAGACTGGGAAAATGTTCACACAAAAAAAGAGAAAACCTGTTCCCCTAAGCCCCTCATCTGCCTTACTCCTGGTCACTAGGTTGATGAACCTATCCAGCTTGCTTGAGCTTAAGAGGGTTGTTGGGTTGTAGGACTTTTCAGCACCCTACTAAGGACATCCTAAAAGACTCCTACAAGTGGAGCAGCTAAAATGATTACATCTCATCTTGTTTCATCTGCCTAATATCTGAGGAATGTTTGCATAGGAAAGGAAACAGATAAGGTAATCAAGAGTGACCATAAAGAATCTAGTTCAAAATAAATGCTGCTGCCCATTCCCTTTCCAAAAGGGAACCTTATGTTTATATTTAGCAAATCCTTAGGAAATTTCTTAGGTCTGGATGCTAAAACATCAAATTACTGCTTTTCCACACACCATACACATTCACTTGCAGCAGTCACTAAATCAACCAGGTTATTTCAGAATCAACCAGATTGAACATATGCTTTTCATCCCAGGATAGCATTATATAATCCCTGGCAACAAAAAAATACCACATTTGGCCTGCAGTAGGGGCTCAAACAATAATTTACTACAGTATATATTATACTAATCAGGAAATTATAATAAATTTTTGTAGCCTTTCTGGGCCTTCCCTCTGCTTTAATCAACATTACAAATTATAATTACTGTGGAAAGTGTGTGTGTGTACATAAATACTTCTTCAAACAATTATGACGGTTCTCTCCCATGGTACCAAATTTTCATTTTTACTGTTGCATGGGAGTGTTTGGTTCAGTCTGTAGCCAAGATCAGAGCTCTAGAACACCTAGTGGGAGGAGAGGATTCCTTAGATTAGCTGGATCTGGATCTCATCCTGTGTAGACTTCCTTGGCCAGTTTGGATAATACTGATTCCTTATTCTTAGACATAGAGGCTCTCATCTAACTGCTCTAGATTTTGGTGAAGGAATGTACATATTTATTAAACATCTAAGGTCTCTGCCCATGTTTGGGTACTATGAGAAGATGTCTCTCTGCAGGCCAGAAAGTGTATCCTCACCAGATATACAATCTGTCAATATGCCTCTACAACTGTGAGAAATATATTTTTGTTGTTTAAGCCAATCAGTCAACAGACAAACATCTGAGATGGCTCAGAGGTAGTTTTGGACCACATTTTGAGAAAATCTGCCCCAGTGAATGAAGATTTTAGTTGTATTATTGCAAAAATCTCTACTGCCCCACCCCAAAAGGCCCCTCTGGTCACCTGAACCAGCAAGCCAGCTGAGATACATTAAGAAATCAAGGAGATCTCATGAAGAGATTTAGAGTAAAACCCCTCTGAAAAGAAAAAAAATGACATCTTTCTGTAAGTAAATAGAATAGACTTGTCTCTACATTGCTCATTGGAAATACTTCTATAGACAGTGATTTAGAAAGATCAGAACTTCAACAAATAAATGGAGTTATATAGCAGTAATTATGCCAGTATAGTAATTATTTGGTAACCTTGGTTCTTTTTAAAATATTTCATCAGAAAATAATACTATTAAATTACTATTTTAACAAGATAAATAGATTGGGCGGAGAAAGAAAAGGGAAGCAGTAATATGAAATAACCTGAAGCCATAAAAGTGATGAAAGAAGACCAAAATTAAGTGCTTGAGGTTTAAAAGATGAATAAGATGGAACCAAGGGAAAAATAAGGAAAATTAACATTTCAAAGGATTGGAAAAGGTGGAATGATGAATTAAGAGCTCCATTCTATAAAAAGTACAAACGAGCTGAAAGAAAGACAAAGCCAAATTCACGAATCATATTCTTGTAAATCTACTTTCCATGCTTTTATGTTTTTTAAACTTTACACATAATTTAAAATGCATACAGAAGGATGCAGGCAGGCAAGGAAGTCCATACAAGCCACATGGTATGGCCATCCACCAACTCCAAGATAGTCTACATTTTGTTTTCCCTTGGCATGAGGCACAAACTAACCAACTGACCTGTTCCTGGGTGAACACAATGCCCACGGAGAGAAGGTAAGCCCCAAAAAGCAGCAGACCCAAAGAGAAAATACAGACCTGACCAACAACACCAAGAGCTCCAGTGCTACTCTCCCAACATGACTGCTTGAGGGAAAGCCACAAGAGACCACTGCCAGACATAGGCCCTCCCTAAAAAGCTCATACTAGAAAGAAAATGGCCCCTTCCCTATGTACGTAGCAACTAGACTAGTGATGACAAACCTTTTAGAGACTCAGTGCCCAAAATGCAACCCAAAACCCATTTATTTATCACAAAGTGCCAACACTGCAATTAAACCAGAGCCCTGAGGGTTTAGTTTAGAAAAAACAACTGCTATCCCATGCTCAGCTACTGGGCCAACTTGGCTTGCCGGCCCTCTGTGGCATATCCCACAGCCTATGTCCAGTAGGGCCAGAGGGCTCATAGTGTTTCCAGTCTCCCATAAGACCTAAAGCTGGTTGGAGAAAATTGTGACTGACTGGATTTCAGGAGTATAGATCCCGGAAAAAAATACTCTCAAAAATACAAATTTTTTTCTCTGATTTAATCTTGATTTTCTATTTATTTATTATTTTTCTTTTTCCTTTATAGGTTTTCTTGGGTGTTGGGAACTTTTTCTCACCTTTTTTCCTTTTTTTTTTCCTTTTTTCATTTTAGTTTCTTTTCTCTCCTCCTTTCCTCTCTCAAATTTTTTCCTCTTCTTTCATCTCTTGTACTCTGCTCTGTTTTTTCTTTTTTCTAGTTTCTAGTTTCTTCCCCTCAACCATTTTCTAACACTATTAATTTTTTATCCCTCAATAGTAAAAAGCCAAGTACTTTGAAACAGGACAATAGAAAAAATGGCCTTAGGGCATCACAAGAACCAGCAGGATTTCATCCTTTGCTGCCTCAAAATTGCAAAGTGAGGGGCTGGGGATTTAGCTCAGCGGCAAAAGCGCCTGCCTGGCAAGCACAAGGTTGTGAGTTCAGTTCCCGGTACCGGAGAAAAACCAAAAAAAAATTGCAAAGTGAAAGACTGCTTTGAGAAGAGAGCCCAATGGTATCATGCTCCAGAATGGTCATTGCCCAGGAGGTTTTTTCCTTCGGATTGGGGTCATAGTGCTCAGTCATCCTACAGCCAAGAGAGAAAGAAGTCTGGGTACTGCTCCAGCAGGCGGCAGACTTTGGTGCTTGTTTTAGGTACATGCAGAATGCAGGAGCTGTGTGGTCAGGAAGGCATTCACCAAGATTTCAAAAGAAGGCCTGGAAGACCAAATGGCATGCCCCTGTGAGGGCAGTATGTGAAACTGTGAGTGTGAAGCTGCAGTGGAAACCTCAGAAGGTTGGAGAAGGCAGGAAAGTGGAATATCTGAGGAAAGCTGTAAGGAATGAGCAAGCTGGCCCAAGGGGAAAGCCACAAGAGCTGAAACCACTCACAGTCCCATGAGGCAGGGCTACCCACGCCCTTTAGAATTCACATCTTGCCACAGATTTTGCTGAATGCTTGACATGGAACTATGGGATTTAATGTTTGCCTTGCTGAATTTGAGCCTTGCTTTAGTCCCATTTCCCTCTATCCCTCTATTTGCAGCTTTTGGAATGGGAATGTTTATCCTGTGCTATTGAATGTTGGAAGTGTTTAACTTTCTTTTCATTTTTACAAGGGCTTACAGCTAAGGATTTGCCTTAAATCTCAGAGGAAAATTTGGACT